TGTCACATCATCAGGTGACTCAGGTGGTCTCCCTCAAATTATTCATTCTTGTTTCTTAAGGATTCGTCACCTCACCTCATTCATCTTAAAATATATAAGAGGAAAGTTTCATAATGATTTAGTTTCTTAAGGATTCGTCACCTCACCTCATTCATCTTAAAATATATAAGAGGAAAGTTTCATAATGATTTAGTGGGGGAGAGTAGTGGGGCGATGGGGAGTAGTGGTGATGGGGGAGTAGTTGATGGGTGATGGGGTGGTGAAGGTTGGGGGTGGGGGGTAGTGAAGGTTATCAATCAATATGAAAACAAAGAACTTTTAATATATAACTTTTCTCATTTGTATTGTTGGGTGTGAGGTGAGGAGGTGGAGTAGTTGGGAGGTGGAGTCGTGAGGGAGGTGGAGTGTGGAGGTGGAGAGGTGGAGGAGTGAGGAGTGGGAGGTGGAGTCGTGAGGAGGTGGGTGGGTTGTGAGGTGGGAGTGTTGTGAGGAGTGGGAGGAGGTGGGAGGTGGAGTCGTGAGGAGTGGGAGGTGGAGTCGTGAGGTGGGAGGTGGAGTAGTGTAAAGGAGCAGAGTATTGTTTTGAGGAGTTGGACGACTATAACACACACACACACACACACACACACACACACACACACACACACATAACTCCAGCTCTGGGTAGATAGACACATAACAAAAAAGAACAGATATTAATGGCGTCAATCGGTCGCTGTGACTCGAAGGGGGGAAAACGGTATTAGCTCTCTCTCTCTCTCTCTCTCTCTCTCTCTCTCTCTCTCTCTCTCGTGTGTCTAATATGAGAATAACCTATTTTCTGGGTATTATTATTATTATTATTATTATGTACGGTTCCCTTCACTCGTGTGTTTACAGGACCTCGTTATATAAACATTTCACAGATCATTATCATTGAGATATTTGTTTTAATGTTGTTTTACTTTGATTCCAGAGTTTGTTTACTATTGCGAGTTTCCTTCTGTCGAATGTAAACAAACACAACGTTGCCACACTGTACACAACCTGGGTCTGTATATGTGACGTCATAGTTATACTGTATACAAAGTGGATGATTTTTAAGGGATTTTTTTTTTACGTTAGGATTTATTTTGGAGGGTCCTGAGTACATCTAGAGGACCCTGGGGGATATTGGAGGCTCTTGGAGGATTTTGGGGGACCACGGGACACAGGGGCTGGGGTGGGGCTGCTCCTCTACATGATTGCCGTGGACCATAAACCCGAGGAAGTGGTCCTTTAGGGGGCCCTTGTCTTACACCCTCCTTACAAGGTCTCAGCCCTCACCAGCTCTCAACCCTCACCAGTCCTCCCTTATTCCTCACCATCTCTTTCCCAGCCCTCACTTACCCCAGCCCTCACCTACCTCCAGCCCTCACTTACCTCCAGACAGACAGACAGACAATAACAGCCCGCCACTGTTTCTTCCACTACGACATAAAAACACAAGGAAAAAAAAGGAAGAAATTACTTGACGTTTTCTGTAAGTTGAGAAAATTATTATGTAAAGGTGTGTTGGGTATAGTACAGGTGTGTTGTTATAGCCCTCTGTTAGCACTCACTCAGGGCCTCGTGGGGGGTTGATCCTGGCACCATACACAATACATGGCCGAGAGAGAGAGAGAGAGAGAGAGAGAGAGCTATATATCATCGTTACTAAGACGGTACATCTTGTTCCCCTCACCATTACCACCTTAACCACTCCTTCATCTTTCACTCTCTCCTTCTTCCTTCCTTCACGCCCCCTCCTTTTGCCCTGTCTCATTTACACCTTCCTTTTCTCCCTCGCTCCCTCCTTGCTTCCCTCCTCTTCCTTCCTCCCCATCCACTCTAATTCCTCCCTCCCTCCCTCCTCCCTACCACTCTAGTTCCCTCCCTCCCTCCCTCCTCCCTACCACTCTACAATAGTTCCCTCCCTCCCTCCCTGCCATTGTACATTCCTCACCCATGCTGGAGGTGAATAAGGTCTTGGCGTTTTACAGTCTCGGGTCCGTGAATAACAAGTGGAGTCTCACCCTTCTGAAGGCTCACCTAGCGTCATTATTATTATTATTATTATTATTATTATTATTATTATTATTATTATTATTATTATTATTATTATTATTATTATTATTATTATTATTATTATTATTATTATTATTATTATTATTATTATTATTATTATTATTGTTATTATTATTATTATTATTATTGTTATTATTATTATTATTATTATTATTATTATTACTATTATTATTATTGTTGTTGTTGCTGTTGTTGGTATTATTTATGTACTACAGCTCACAGATAAACATTGCAGATTATTATAGTACATGTACAGTACAGGTGTGTGATGTACAGTGACCAGACTTAACACGGTGATAGAGGGGGGGAGGGGTAGTAATAATCGGATTAGTGTCGTGTCCGAGCGAGTGATTGTCCAGTCGGTGTCTTGTGTGTAGTGGTGATTAATGGTACAACTTGTCCATTTGTTCAGGGTAATTGAATCATCAGAGAGTAGTTCAGGTATTGTACTATATATACTGGTTAGGTTAGGTTAGTTTACCCTGATCCTCCTTGACACCTCCCTGACACTCATTCCTGACCCTCCCTGACACCTGATCCTCTCTGACACCTACTCCTGACCCTCCCTGACACCTACTACTGACCCTCCCTGACACCCACTGACCCTCCCTGACACCTACTACTGACCCTCCCTGGCACTCACTGACCTTCCCTGGCACCCACTGACCCTCCCTTACTCTCACCACTTGTTTATGATTTAACAAATGACCTCTCTCTCTCTCTCTCTCTCTCTCTCTCTCTCTCTCTCTCTCTCTCTCTCTCTCTCTCTCACAGGAGGATTAACATGACCCACGTACTTAATAATGTGGTCAAATGACATGTATTAGTTGGGTTGAAGGACGACTGTGATGGTGATGTGTGTGTGTGTGTGTGTGTGTGTGTGTGTGTGGTCACGTTCCGTAATAAGGGTGAAGGGCCAGGGGGAGGAACGTGAGGGTCATTAGAGTGTGTTTGTTCCGCCCTCAGGAGGTGGTTCTTCCCTGCTGGTGCTGACCTGACCTGACCTTGCCTAACCTAACCAAGTGAGTTAATTAGATACACACATTCTCATTATGACTTACGAGAAAATAACAAAATATATCTAAATGATCGTAGGGTCGAGAGGGAATGTGGAGAGATCGGTGGTTCATAATAATTATCCCGGGTGTTGTGACGCAGAGGATTGTGGGGAATGTTGTTGTGAGAGAGAGAGAGAGAGAGAGAGGGAGAGAGGGAGAGAGAGGGAGAGAGAGAGAGATAAGGACAGATAACTTTTCTCCTGCGTCAACCCATTTCGTCTTCACTTCCTTTCTTGAGCGATTACCAAGTCCACCCTTTTTATGGAGCACCTGAAGATTAGCCTCCCTCTCTCCCTTCCCCCCTCTCTCCCTTCTCCCCCTTCCTCTTTCTTCCCCTTTTTCTATTCTCCTCCCTCCCTTCCTTCCTTCCCCCTCCCTCTTCCCAAGTTTATTTCACCTTAACATTAAACACTTTTACGCTTCCTGGGTGAGTTAGGTTAGGTTAGGTTAGTTTAGGTTAGGTTATATTAGGTTAGGTTAGGTTACCTGGGGAGGGGCTAGTGTTCAGGTGATCTCTTTACCCCTACCTGGAGACACGAGGACACACGGTATTTACCTCAGTGATGCTACGAGTACTAGACAGATTCTCAAACGATCGTAAGTTTCACCGTAACTCTACAGTAAGTGAGGAAAAAGTATCTTATTTTTTTCACTCAAGTTAACGAGACATCGATGGATTCTCAAAGATTCTTATGTTAAATTTGTCTCTGAACTGGAGGTATGAAGACCGCTTTTCCAGACAGGGAGTGACTTGCCAGAGTAGGAGTGGGGAGGAGTGGGAGGAGTGGGAGGAGGGGAAATGCCAATAGGGGAGATAAAGGAGAGGAGGATGGGGAAGGGAGGAAGAGGAGGAGGATGGGGAATGGAGGAGGAGGGTCGATGGAGGAGAGAGGGGGATGAGGATGGAAGAGAGGAGAAAGAGAGGGGGAGTGGGAGGATAGAGGAGGAGGAGGAGGAGGAGGGTCGATGGAGGAGAGAGGGGGAGGAGGATGATGAAGAGGGGAGGAGGATGATGAAGAGGAGGAAGAGGATGATGAAGAGGGAGGGTAGCAGTGTGATGAGTGTGAATGAAGACTTATTATAATGAGATTCATAACTCAGCCTAAATACCAGAAGCGTCTTAAGGGGAGGGAGGGAGAGGAGGATGGAAGGATGGAAGAGGGAGGAAGATGGAAAGGAAAGATTGAAAGAGAGGGAAGGGTAGAAGGAGGAAGATGGAAAAAAAAGGGTGGAAGGGGAGGGAAAGATGGAAGGGAAGGGTAAAGATGGGTAAGGAGAGGATACGGGAAGAATGAACTGGGGAGTAATGGGAGAGAATGTTAGGGACAGGAGAGAGAGAGAGGAGACTTATTAGCTTCACAACTATACTCGTCTAAGAGGCGGGAGGGACCTGACGTCACATGTAAACATTGTCTCATTCATAAAACCTATTTTTGTTGTTTACAAGTTACGACGAGTATGACCACCGCTACAACTACTGCTGTTGTTGTTGTGGTGTAGGTAGGAGGGGGGGGGGGACCAGCGAGGGCTATAAACAGGGCCTCCACTCTTCCTGTCATTCGTCTTCAGATTAGGTGTGTAAACGATCCGCTCTTTTGGGTATCAATGGCAAGACTAATCGATGGTTTGGGAAAATAGGTTATGTTGGGAGGAAGGAAGGAGGGAAGGAAGGAAGGAAGAGGGAGGGGTGGAGGGAAGGAAAGAGGAAGGTAAGAAGGATGGAGGGTCGCGTTGATGCTGGTGATTGTAGAGGTCGCGTCTGATAGCACTTCTTTGTATTCTTCCTCTTCGTCCTCCCCTTCCTCTTCCTCCTCCTGTTGCTTCTTTATCGGTGGGATTTTGTCCACTGGGATTACCTCAAATAAAGTTGTGTCCAGTGGTATTACCTGAAGAAAAGTTGTGTCCAGTGGGATTACCTGAAGAGAAGTTGTGTCCAGTGGTATTACCTGTAGAGAAGTTGTGTCCAGTAGTATTACCTGAAGAGAAGTTGTGTCCAGTGGTATTACCTGAAGAGAAGTTGTGTCCAGTGGTATTACCTGAAGAAAAGTTGTGTCCAGTGGTATTACCTGAAGAGAAGTTGTGTCCAGTGGTATTACCTGAAGAGAAGTTGTGTCCAGTGGTATTACCTGAAGAGAAGTTGTGTCCAGTGGTATTACCTGAAGAGAAGTTGTGTCCAGTGGTATTACCTGAAGAGAAGTTGTGTCCAGTGGTATTACCTGAAGAGAAGTTGTGTCCAGTGGTATTACCTGAAGAGAAGTTGTGTCCAGTGGTATTACCTGAAGAGAAGTTGTGTCCAGTGGTATTACCTGAAGAGAAGTTGTGTCCAGTGGGATTACCTGAAGAGAAGTTGTGTCCAGTGGTATTACCTGAAGAGAAGTTGTGTCCAGTGGTATTGTCCAGTGGTATTACCTGAAGAGAAGTTGTGTCCAGTGGTCCTGAAGAGAAGTTGTGTAGTTACCTGAAGAGAAGTTGTGTCCAGTGGTATTACCTGTAGAGAAGTTGTGTCCAGTAGTATTACCTGAAGAGAAGTTGTGTCCAGTGGTATTACCTGAAGAGAAGTTGTGTCCAGTGGTATTACCTGAAGAAAAGTTGTGTCCAGTGGTATTACCTGAAGAGAAGTTGTGTCCAGTGGTATTACCTGAAGAGAAGTTGTGTCCAGTGGTATTACCTGAAGAGAAGTTGTGTCCAGTGGTATTACCTGAAGAGAAGTTGTGTCCAGTGGGATTACCTGAAGAGAAGAGAAGTTGTGTCCAGTGGTACCTTACCTGAAGAGAAGTTGTGTCCAGGTATTACCTGAAGAGAAGTTGTGTCCAGTGGTATTGCCTGAAGAGAAGTTGTGTCCAGTGGTATTACCTGAAGAGAAGTTGTGTCCAGTGGTATTACCTGAAGAGAAGTTGTGTCCAGTGGTATTACCTGAAGAGAAGTTGTGTCCAGGGAGAAGTTGTGTCCAGTGGTATTACCTGAAGAGAAAGTTGTGTCCAGAAGTTGTGTCCAGTAGTATTACCTGAAGAGAAGTTGTGTCCAGTGGTATTACCTGAAGAGAAGTTGTGTCCAGTGGTATTACCTGAAGAGAAGTTGTGTCCAGTGGTATTACCTGAAGAGAAGTTGTGTCCAGTAGTATTACCTGAAGAGAAGTTGTGTCCAGTAGTATTACCTGAAGAGAAGTTGTGTCCAGTAGTATTACCTGAAGAGAAGTTGTGTCCAGTGGTATTACCTGAAGAGAAGTTGTGTCCAGTGGTATTACCTGAAGAGAAGTTGTGTCCAGTAGTATTACCTGAAGAGAAGTTGTGTCCAGTGGGATTTCAAGAAAGGATGAGCGACGGTCGGTGTAATTACTGCTTGTGGATGTCTCAGCTCCACCCTCCAGGCCCTCATTACCTGGGTTATGGATGGTGAGTGGTTTATCTCTTCCTGGACCTACCTGAGAGAGAGAGAGAGAGAGAGATAACAACGACGAGACTGAGAGACAAAAGACGTAGACATACTAAGGAATCTCTCTCTCTCTCTCTCTCTCTCTCTCAATCTCTCGTCACTCTCTCTTTCACGGTGATAACTTTCCTCCCCTCCCCACCACACATCTCCCTCTCCCTCCTTCCGGATCTCGTGAATGTATATGGAGAGGAAGAAGGGGAGATGAAGGGAAGGGGGAGAGAGTTAAAAAGAGATGGAGTTATGAAGGAAGAGAGGAGGGAAGAGGGAAGCGACATGGGATGGGAGAGAATAGGGAGGTAGGGAAGGTGGTTAGGGTAGATAGATGGCAGATAGGTAGATGGATAGATAGATGAATAAGTAGATGGGTAGATAGATAGATAGGTAGATGGGTATATAAATTGGTAGATGGATAGATGGATGATTAGGTAGATGGATAGATAGCTGGATAGGTCGTGGGCACTTGTCACTCCTTACGCCTTCCATATGGATATGAACCTGGACCGTGGGGAGTGTACATAGGTGATAGGGGAAGGTGGGGAGAGGAAGGGGTGATGGGGAGAGTAAGGGGTGACGGGGAGAGGAAGGGGTGATAAGGAGAGTAAGGGGTGACGGGGAGAGTAAGGGGTGATGGGGTAAGGATGACGGGAGAGAAGGGGTGATAGGGAGAGTAAGGGGTGATGGGAGAGTACGGGGTGATGGGGAGAGTAAGGGTGATGGGAGAGTAAGGGGTGACGGGAGAGTAAGGGGTGATGGGGAGGGAAGGTGATGGGGAGAGTAAGGGGTGATGGGGAGAGTAAGGGTGACGGGGAGAGTAAGGGGTGATGGGGGAGAGGAAGGGGTGATGGGAGAGTAAGTGATGGGGAAAGGAAAGGGTGGTGGGATTAATAACACGTTGGGTAATTGTCGACAAATTGTTCCTGACCTTATTTACTATGTCTGTGTGTGGCCAGTGGTGGAGGGGGGTGTGTGGCCAGTGGTGGAGGGGGTAAAATAGTGGTGGAGGGGGGGGTGTGTACAGTGGTGGAGGGGGTGTGTGTGTGTGTGGGGGCCAGTGGTGGAGGGGGTGTGGGGCAGTGGTGAGGGTGTGTGTGGCAGTGGTGGCCATGTCAGCAGGCTTGAAGGTTTCTGACCCAACCATTGTTACAAATTTGACGTTGAGTCACTTCCTGTAGGCGACCCCCCACACACTGTAATATCACCAAATCTTCCCCTTCATATTAAGTCAACAATATTTCCTGTTACAGTTTTATGTAGCGTAGTAAACAGACTAACATAATTCTGGTGTATGTGGCGAGGCTGTTGTGGACTGTGTTGTTGTTGTATATCAGATTATTATTATTGTTGTTGTATTATCCCAGTTTGTTCTTATTACACCAGTACTGAAGTATTACTCATATACCCAATTATCATCCCCAGTACTCAGTTATATTACCTCAGTGACCCAGGTACAGTATTATCCCTCATTAAACGGATATTTTCCCAGTGTTCAAAAACTATTCCCTCACTCTACCTCCCTTCCCAGTTCTAGTACCGGGAGACCGTGTAGTGGACTGGGGTGGTTGGTATTACTGGTAGGTGCGAGAGACAGGGGAGAAAGAATAGGTCGTTAAGGGAGGGAACTTGGTAGCTGCCTCACGTGCGTTGGGGAGGAGGAAATGTTGTCAAGTTGTGATTATATTCTCTCTGTCTCTTAATGGTGTTGTAGGGAAGTCTCTTAGTGGTGTTGTAGGCAGGGAAGGAGTGGGACTTTCACCCAGAGCTGTCATGGTACCTTATGTAACTAGTAAGATATCAGAGCTGTCCACCACTGACACAGGGCAGTATTACATAAGGTGTATCAGGCACGTCCTTTGGTGAATTGCTCGGTGTTCTAGGACTGTAATGATTAACAATAATAGTAACATTCACGTGATAATGACAGTTTTTTACTTTGTGCCATTTATATTTCTGTTTATTGCTACATGTGTGACCATATTTTCCCTTTTACATTACCACGTCTATACACAAGGGCAAAAAAACTACAAAATATTACTTTGTTCATTAAAATCCAACAATATTTGATGATTTTATACGTTCTTACAAGTTGAAAAACCTTGGCATTCGATTTCATAAAAAAAAAAAGTAGGCTCATCACAGTCTTATGTAGCGGCTCACTTAAGACACCGTAGACGGATCTCAATGAAAAACCACAGCGTAACTACAGTCCAGGGAGGGAAGAGCTTTATTAAATAACTTAAGAGAATGAGTTTCACCAGTAGTGTTGAATCAGTAGTTCCTCACCTACATGATAACTGTACTTTACACTCTCAACTATTTGGCGACCATTTTTATTTATTTATCATGTCTCTTGCTTATTGGCCGACAAGTCATTCAGGCTGTTGGTTAGTTGTTTATTGTTCGGTGTTAGTCGAATACAGGAGAAAATCAGTGTATCCGGAGAAAACCTGCCATGTTTGTTAGTCACGCTGGAGACCTTCCTTCCCACATCTGTTCTAGGCTGAGGATTTAACCCAGGTCACATTTGTGAAAAGTACGCATGTTTTTCTCACAAATTTAATCATCCACACCTGAGGGATTGTACAATGTGGGTGTTTACCTCATTTACCATTGTGACCATTACACTTTCTGAATATCAGCTACATTTCATCAGCGCACCTCACAATGTGTTATATGTATTTATTCCTGGAGCTATTATCTACTTTATTGTTACTGTACAATATTTACATTTAAAAGATATTTGGTTGTACAGTAATTATAAATTGAATATTTTTTTATGGCAGCCAAAGCATGTTGACTGATTATGTCCGTTGGTTGGAATAATGAGGAACAATCTTTGGAAAGTTGGACACAAAAATTCGTAAATTGTCGAATAATGTCAAAATATTCCGAACAAGGTTAAGTTTGGATTTTTCGGTAATTCGAGTGACCCAGAACCCGTTTTGTCGAATTAACGAGGGTACAGTGTATATTGGAAGACATATGCCAGGATGTCTTGTTTATCTAGTGGGAGATAAAATGGAGGTGAGTGATGTATGTAGACTTGAGATTATGAACTCAGTTATGAAGGAAAATAATACCTCACAATAATCACAGAAAGATTTTATGATATTGAAAGACGTCAGAATTGAATACGCCAACTGTATGCTGATCTACAGAGTGATGAGGGCAAGAGTTTAAACTGCATTAAAAAAAAACACGACAATGACTCAGCAGTATGGAGACAGAAGTAACTTGTAAAAAAAAAATTATGCAAGATTTGATTAGCTAATATGAATTATATATTAGACAGTGACAAAATACTTGCTATTGATGCAGTGACCAATGGAACTCAGCACTGTAGCTACATTAACATAATGGATAACTAAACAATACTCTCAGCCCCATTCATAGAACTCTTGGCATTGTTAAAATAGGCAAAAACAGGGTTACATAATCAACATTTTCATTATTACACATTATCAGATAGAAATAAAACTCTACTACAGGTTTGTATTATTGTTTATAAGCTGACTACATAGAGAGAGAGAGAGAGATTTGAGAGGTTTTATGAGTTTACTTCAATGTGTATTATGTAGGGAAACTTTATTTAGCTATGGAATATTCAGAACTTGAGTATTACTTCAATGAAATACGTAGTGAGATCTTCACAATATTCCAACAGTCAAAATGATGATGTATTAAGTATATAATGTTGAGGATACAGTATTTGTAATTATTGTACTGCATGGTCATTATTTTTAACTTGATTTCAGTGTTCGGAATACATGTACTTCATGATGATGACAGTTTCAGCACAAACAAGCATCAATTCCACATTTATTTAACACAAAGGAAATGGGTGAATCCATTTTATACACGATCTAAGTTAGAGAGTTTGTAAAAATGAAGTTGGAGCAATATATCACTTAACCTATTTGTTAATTTCTATTGATTAAACACTGTGGTTTTCCCCACAATACAATGGGCTACTGAGTCACAGTATCAGTCACTGTCTAGCACAAACTTTGGGAGGCCTCACCAGCCATGACGAACACTGACATCTTTTCTTTGACAGTAAAAAAGTATACTATGCAATGTACATCAGACGGAATCAATATTTTGCACCATATCTGCATGGTAACACCTAAAGGGGCAATATGCAGGCAAATTCAGCATAGTATTATAAATATCTGATTGTCTACTCACCAGAATCATAATTACTTATCTACAGGATATATCTATACATACATTAATATGGAATTATTATCAATAGCTTACTGATAAAAAAATTGTCTGAGATAAAAAAAATATATATATTAGGTATTTGCTAAGAGGTGACACAAGGTAATAACATACTGCTCCTTTAAATGCTATATGCAGTACAGTGGAATATACATCCCATGGACTTGTTGTGCACAATGTTTGTACAGTAAACACCTCAATCAGAAATATAATTACTATAAAAACTTAAAAACCAAGAAATTATACAAAATGTACCGGTACTAAAAATGCAAGAAAATTGGTTGGGAATTATAAAATGATCCAGTAATGTACAAGGTGTCTGTCCTGAAACAGAAAAAATTTAAAAAGAAATGAAACCTTAAAATGTATTAATATGTATAACTGATAAGGAATATAAAATAAATAAAATTCTGTAGATAGCTAAATAGGTTTTAATTTGGGAGGAAAAATGCATTATTTTGTCACATATTTACAGGGTCACCAGGGGTTCAAAAGTAGTACAATACTGTGTATATGAATGCCCACCGTTACGAACAAGGTTAAACTTTAAATTTACAGGATTTTATTCACACGATGACCTATTTTTTACTTCCATTTATTGTATTTTGTCATTCTATTTCTTCTTTTCTCTTAAAATTAAGTGACTTTATATACCGTACACAGTATATCTTTATTTTGTAAGGTTTAGGTTTTATAAACAGGAGTGATTTATGGTATGGTGTGTGTGTCTAAAAATCAATAATAGGGTATCAACATTGTCATGGCACTGAATTTTAGGTACACATTCATATTATAAACATGTTCACTGGCAGATAACAGAAGCAGAATTATGCTAACTTTGAACCCCTGAGATGACCACAAACAAAAGTCAGGTTCACAAGATAGAAGCTTCACAGATAAGACAAATCATGTCTCATAAAACCATATCTTTATATATCTTAAATCTGATTAAAAATGACTCACACATGACTATAATAAATATGCAACTTGAACACCTTACTGCAGATAGTGTGGAAATTATTCAATGTCTCACAATTCAAGTCATAAGATCAATTACACCTATTAGGCAATACTATTACGAATACATAATACCTTAAACGGTATTCACATAATCAGTCACAAGTTAACAAACACCCCACTTAACTTTAAAAGCCAAGTATTTTCCGCTTACCTCAAAAATCATTCCAAGAATCTGCAGCTAAGTGGATATGCATTGACTATAACCTTAAGAGCTTTTCAATGGACTGTTTTACACAGTGAGAAATAGTTTCTCACTTTGTGCCTCTAATACAAGAATCTATTTCATCAAATTTAATGGCTAGGTTATGAACTACAGTGACACAACTATATAATCAAAAGCTTACTTTTATTGGTTGACACCCCAACAACAACCATCACTTGACATTATAATGACATGTAATGAAGTAAATTTGGCTGTTGGAGAATTAATCAAATAAAGTACTGTTCAATAATATGGTTCAATCAACAGTGTTGTTATTAACTAAGTCACTGTTAAAGGTTCATGCTCACACAGTGATCATCATGAACTCTTTAATGAGTTTAATCTGTTTTCTTTAATAACAAGAAAGTAAACACAGAAAAGGGTGTTACAATACAACATTAACTGATCACTGTAAATATTCAACACTGTATGCATGGTCCTGCAACACTGTGTGCATGGTCCTGCAACACTGTGTGCATGGTCCTGCTACAATGATCCTGCTTTACTCTCTCTAATTACAATCTCATAAGCAGAAGCAATTTTCCATATGAATTAGCTACATAACTTTTTACTGTACTATATACTCTCCTATTGGCCTATAATTTAACTTAGTTCACATGACACTATACACCACTCAACTAACACTGATATTCAGTACATTAGTCTGCCGTTACATATCAAGGACGTCCATTATTTGCTTGTCCAAATTCCCTTTGATGCAGAGATCAAAATTTTTTAGGGAAAAGTGACAAACTTAGTAATTGTTGAAGAAAAACAATAAAGTTAACTTGTCTCATTTAAATACGTATTACATATATAAGTTTAGTAATTTTTCCATTATTTCATTTTCACTGAAATAACACAATCAGATCCCCTGAACCCAAGGACTTGTTATCCTACTAACATCCTTAATACATAGCAAGAAAATATTACAATCAACTCCAATAACTGCTTCTCAGTTACTCCTTAAATTTCCAAGGAAAAAAAAAGACAATCTTGTTAGAGGTGAAGAAACAGACAACTCTTAGAAGAAACAGAAATACTGTACCTGTACAGTATTAAAAAATTCCCTCACGTTAAATGACTATACATACATGTGTATGCCTGAGCTAATATACAATATGGAAATTCAAGAAAAATCTGAATCATAAAATTGATAATATAAGCCTATTCATTTCTAATTGAGCACCATCATAACCTTAATAAAAAAATCCTCTCATAAATTACCCTATTACAGTATTATGAAAAACACATTGACTACTACCACAGGCTGACATTATCAATAAATGAGTGCTTCTGAACTTGTGCAAAGACCAAAAATTGTGATCTATTACAGTTATTATTGTCAATCACCCTGACTGGCAAAGACCTAATCTCCACAAGGAGCATATCTGAGAAACTGCCATTTTGAATGAAGCAAAAGGTCTTACAATGATAGTATGACATTACAAGAAAAAGCAACGCATTTTTCCCAACTTGTCCCCCCCTTCATGGTCCTATATTCCTAATGAGCATTTATATACTTAGACGGGGCTCATGTTTATGTTGACATTTAAAAACAAACAAACACTAAAACTAATCATATGCATTTAAAAAGTGCAAGCACTTTCAAGAAAGTCTGCATCGCCTGTTTTTTTATTTTATATACTTTCAAGCCACATGATGGAGGGCAGTTGGATAGCAAATACACATTACTGAAAATAAGGAGTCTTCCTATAGGCCTCCCCTTCATGCAAGCCAACACTTCGATGTTATACTCTCCTCTTAGTCCTGCATCACCAGCTTTTGGTTTTACAATACTTTGGATGTCAATAAAACGGGGGAGGCAAAGATTCATGTACATAAATGGTGTATAACCAGCAAAGTTTACTAAACTGTTTCAATCTTACATGTGACTGCTTACAAAATGTGCTTGTACAATATCTGAAAGGTTGGGCAGACTGCAGAGACCAAGTTTATTTTTTTTTTAGCCATGTCAAACAGCTTTAAGATTGCCTTTTTTTTACCAGCCTGAGCTGATACAACTTATCACATTGTATTATAATATTCCAATATGGGGAGATAATCATGGTTCTATTGTATTTCAAATATCATAGCTAATATGAGTACAATATGTGTAAGAGTTCATGAGGCTCTATCTAAAGACAGCTAAATGAAAAACAAATCTGTTTTTCATGTTCTCAACACATGGCAGAAGTGATATAGTAATGAGGAAACACATAAAGCCAGCCTTACCTTTCAGCCATAATCTGTACACTAAATGAGAATCACCATGAAGTTACCAGCAACAAAACCACAAGATTTATCATTACATTCATTTACTGAGAATAACTGAATCACAGGGGTTTGCTTTCTTATTCTAACATTAACCGGGTTTTATAACATAATTCATAAAAGAGATTATATTTCATCTAGAAATAATTCATAAATACTTATAATGGATACTGGAATAAAGTACCTAAGGATATTGTTTAATACATGGAAATAATCTTGTCATGTACATTAGCACTGCCATTAATCACAAGAAATAGCAAACTAAACTAATAAGGATCTTTTATTATAACTCCCAGTTCTAGCTATTTGGGTATGAGGGAAAAACAACAATCAGTACAGTATATCCAACTGCATCAGCCTTGTCTATGTAACAGACTAACCAACACTGAAAATTCCTACTTCATTCTAAGATCCAGATACCATACACAGACAGCGTAGTGGCCACAGTGCTTCCAGGAAAAGATTTCTTGTGTGCCAGAATGAGACCTGCCCATAAACAGTGTGTTCTCATAGTAACTTTCAACCAGTTCAAACCCAATTGGTCTAAATGCTTATTTAAACTATAACCAACTTTACACATTATGCTGTATACTAATATGATAACTTTGTTTCTAATTAAAAATACTATAGCGTTGACTGGGGCAAAGAGGACCACTGGGGCTAATAGACCATGCTTGGTGAAATCACAAAACAAATAATTTTTTTTTAGCTGTTTTCAGCTTGCAGAGAAACTGTTTTGTCACCTCAAGAGTAATTATGAAGGAAATGTGACTATATTCTAAAGCAGAGAAGACGAATTGCCTGGGAATTTCACTTTTGAAAATACTATTTGTCTTATAAAGGTTAAATTCGGATACAATACTGTACTCTTAGATTGGAAAAATGTGCCAAAGAAAGAACCTTAATTTTTTACATAATTATGATGGATCAAAATTCGGTCCACATTCACCTTGAAGAATTTAGTCACCGGGTGAATGTGGATCATGCCTAATTTGAAAAAATCCAAATTTCATCTAAAATGAATAAAAATTGCTTAGATAAACAATATAATTACTTCACAGCGTATTATAAAATAAATAGCACATACTGTACTGTTTTATGCACAATACAAAAATTTGCTCCTTCCACACTCAAACCATCCTCTGGGCAATGTGACACAATTCAGCCAGGCAGTTACATAGCTGATCAAAGAAGTGTGTGTGTGTGTGTATGCAGTTACGTATCATCGAGGAAGCGAGCGTGGCTAGCTGGTAGCTAGCTATTTAATTATAGCTCATTGCCTCCACACGTACGTTCACATTGGAGTATTGTAATGAGTTTTTTCTCAAACAAGTACGGACAATCGATAAACACAGTAATTTGGGAACACTCGTGAAAATGCACAGACTTGTGGAATATAATAAATAAAGAAATTTAAACAAAAAATTGAGTTGTGTAAATAGAGAAGAAAGATGTTTTGCAAGATATTATACAAGAAACTGCACAAATAAATAAAAATTTTAAGGAATTGTGTCACTGGTCCACTTTTGCCCCATAACTGCAGGTGAATCAGACCACATAACTCCCATTATACTTTAGCAAGTGACTACAATAGCTGTTAAAACAAACAAAAACTGTATTTAAATGCTTTATGTAATTATACCAAAAAAATTTCATTCAAAAAAAAAAAAAATAAATAAGGGAGTTATTAAAACCTCAGTCATTTGCCGGTCTGATTCACCCTGGTCGATGCTACTATTGCTTGAAGTAACCTAAAGTTATTGTATACAGTCCACTATGGTAATTTAAAGAGACTCCACTCTCATAGGCAGATTCCATCTTCATGAGTGTGGCACCACTAATGTACTGACAATATCAAACATTCAGTGTAAGATAGTAACCTGAAGCACCATTCCCATTATAAAAACAATGACAACATAATACATTAAGAGCAAAGATAAAAGAATAACTTCCTATTGTTCATCAGTACCTGAATTCTTAAAAATTTGTACATACTGTAATTTTTTCCTCATAATTGTGGACAAACGAACGTTTGGTTAAAGTAGTGTCTTGGTGTAATATTAATATCCATTGTTTGCCATTTTCATGTTACAGCTCACATGGGATAGTTAAATGCAGTCTCATAACCTAACAGTGGGAAAATAATTCAACATACAAATCTTTGTGAACATGAACTCTGGACCAGATGAACACACACATTTCATACAGTGCTATACTACACTTAAGCATTTATATTACTGCTATTGTCTTTCCTGTTAATGGGCTGCTTTGTTATTTGTATAAGAAATGAACTCCAAGTAACAGTGAGGTGCCAAAAAATTTACATTTGTAATATAGTTGAGAGTGGTTAGAATTCCCTGATAATGTACCAACTAGCTAACACATCTAACTTGCAATACCTGGCACAGTACTTACTACTGATCCAACAGTATAATGTTATCTATATTTATTGCACAATTTTATTTGATAATTGGTAAGTGTTACCATGGCAGGGTGACACTATTGCTGTAAGTTAATGTACAGTGCTCACCGCTACACACTGTCCGTCTCGTGTGCTCATTTTTTTTTAACGCCCGTAAACCGTTTGTGTTATCATTGTATGAACGGTTAACGTGGCAACACCTGTTAAATATTTTCATGCTTAGCATTGACAGTTTATCATCTGCAAACCCATTCTCGAGTTATTCTGGAGACACGGACAGACTGACAAAATCCAAAACAATACAGTACCCATCCGCAGCTGTGGGTAGTGAGGGTAAAAAGTACTACATTACTTGCAGACTTTCCAATTATTAGACAATTTGAGAGTAAAAAATTATCAATGACCTGAGACAGCATTGCAACAAATTTTTTATGCCAGTTAGCTACTAATAAGGATCCCAAATTGTCATAAACTAACCATTGGGTGGTACTGTACTACCTTTAACAATGTGCTTTATGTGGTGATAATTTACTTCAACTGATGTGTAGATCATACTAGTAACAGCAATATATATTCAAATGTTGTATATAATGCCAGAGAGCGTTATTACTACACCGTGTTGTTAAGTGTATCAGTTAATAACAGTTTTAGAGTATGTGTACATGAGGGAAGGAAAACTGTACATAAGATTTGTATAATACCAAGTACATGTAACTCTTAAAGTTAATATTAAGACCAAAATGAGATTCTCTCAGCATAAGATAGCAAAAATTATTCACTCAAGAACACTTATAATCATATGATGAAAAATATAATCAGTGAGTGGGCACTATGGAAAATAGAATACAATATTTATGAAATACAGTAGGACAATACACCTGTAGCAACAAAAGGCTTCACATAATACACTATCAACAGTTTACTTCCTATATATTACTACTACATATAATCTTAGTCTACATACAGTATATGTATAAGCAAAAGTTTTGGCACATGATTACCCCTCCAGTTTATGATCTTGGTGTAAGTATCCCTTGTAACAAACATGCACCTACGTCACACTCTTACTCACACGTCTAAGAGACAAGGTCAAGAAATAAGTCAAACCTTTCCTGTGTCTCCCTAAGGTCATGGTGCACAAAGCCTGAGAATGAAATGCAGAAAAAGATAACATAAAGTGATGAAGGAAGGGCTGACTAGATCAACCCACCCACACACACAAACTACCAATGGGAAGTGGTCATCCTCCAACAAGTGGTTCTTTTCTTTGGTCTATTTCATAATGCAGTCAATTTGCTCTGGCACAAATTGTCAACCCTTATTCAATCCTTTCTTGTTTTATGATTATATTTTAGTATTTTCCTTTTTATGTTTGTCTATCTATTCCTACTTCACACATCTCGTTTTTTTCCTGTTGCATCACTCGTCCCTGTTTATTTACACTTCTCTTATTTCTTGTTGCAGACTAGTGAACACTATTTGTCTGATAGCCAAACCATATTTAAAATTCCCCAATAAGTGTTTTAGCCATGGCAACACAACTTTTGTTGCATGGCTGTGTGCAGGTCAAGAACCAGAATGCTTTAGGTGGTTCATATGACTGCTTTAAAATAATATACAAACAGACAGATAGCTGAGTGTGAGAGGCGTTTAAATTCTACAACTATAAATGCTTTATCATGTTTAGTTTGCTTTAAAATAGTAGACTGACACATACATTAACTGGGTAATGTGTACTGTATAATGAACACAGAGTACAGTACAATCCCTTAATAAGAAAAGTGGAGCCTTCTGTGGAATGACTGAGACCAAAATCACTTGGGCTCATCAACTTTGTATAAAAAACTTGTGAATGGTTTTGTTTTAATGTTCCCAATTCAACTTTGGTCAGTGCAAAAACCATATGTCAACAGAGAGTATCTCCCTGAACCTTTCTTTATTCATGGCAATAAAAATAAACATTCTCTACAATGGCTACCCCATCATGACAGTTAATTTATTCTTCATAACCCAAGTAGTCCATGGATTATTGATTTCACTCTGTGAATGTCATGTGTGAATAAAATAACTCAACAAACAAAAACAAGAGACAAATCTGACTTGTCAAGCTTATGTCAAAGTTGTGGGCCAGGCATGCCAGTCACACTGGAAGGGGATTTGTGCTCTGATGAACATTTGTTTAGCTATTTATTTTTATATTTTTTCATAAGAAATCACCTGGATGTTGGTACTGTACTTGGTTGCAAATTAGTGATCTGGTAATATACATTAAAACAGAGTTGAGGTATTATTATTTTGGGGGGAGAATCACCAAGTAATCTTTGCATCGATTCCTAACAGTGAAATAATAACTGAAGAAAATAATATAATAGATTATTTATAAAGACTTGAGGAGGAAAAGCTTTGATGAAATGTGGATGACACTTGATACACTAGACTGGTGACAATACAGCACAAAATGAACTTTGATGCAAGAAATAAATGCAGAGTATTATATAAAAAAGCAAGAAAATGAGGTAATAAAAGAACAATCTGACAGACAGTTCTGTTAGAATCTAAAGTTGGGCAACATGTGGTGCTACGTTGGTGTTAAGTAATAAGTGTGAAAAATAATTTCAATTTCAACATCTCAGAAAATACTTCCTTGTGACAAACACAGGATGAGCACTGTCACTATTACCTTCATCATCAGATCATGGTAATACTATACTATACTGTACTGTACTTAGCTCAGGGGCAACTATACATAATAATTAACACCTCCTTTGTCTCAAGTGCAAAATATCTTTTACCATCTCACCAGGGATGCATGCTGTTGTGTTCTAAAGTGACGTATTCCTTGGGGAAGTAGCCCATCTGTAAAAAAATAAAGTATAGTATTTAAAAGTGCAAGTACACTTCTAAATTAAATTATGTATTTAGTTTCACATTCCTTGTTTTCTATTTGTTCCCATATTTTGGGGGAAGAGAGTAGGGAATCTTTAGTTAACAGTTAAGAGTCAAGTACAATATGGATGTGGTAATTCATGAAATAAATACGGTACGGTGTGAGTTGTGCTGTACACCCGTTCCCAATCAAGGGTAACTACCAGTAGCATAAAGGCCATCAAAGTTTGTTGAAGTAAACAGAAGTTCCTTGACTGTCCATTTACAAACCAATAAATAAATATAAGTAAAACTCACCCTGTTGCCTGATCGTCCTTTCCACCAGCCTCGGTTCTCTCCTTCCCTGCTCATGATCACGATTTTCTGGCCGGGCACCAAACTGAGATGACTGGCACCAGTTCCCACATATGGAAACTTCACTACAGCAGAGTCATACAGAGGGCGGCGCAAACAGCAATCCAACCTGTAAATTATTAATGGAAGATTATTCTTCATATTTCTCAATGTAAAACAGTGAAATTTAGTCTTTTTCCTAATAATAAACTAGAATCCTCGCAGTTCATTGTTGTTACCACATGGAAATTATTGTACCAGATTTTAGTACTAGAAAATGTAACTGCATATTTGCACCCATAAAAAAATTGAATGTAATATGGATTAAAACAAAATAACATTACGTACATAATATCAGGAACAAATACAGTATCCCACATGCTTGATGCTGAGTGTGGAAGCAGATGCAGTGGGACCTACACAGTTTAAATGTTACAAGTATTAAAATTCTGATCTCCAAACGATGGCACCCGTGTTATTTTTATTCCATGTGGTTAAGTTGTACGAGTAACACTTGTTTATCGTGCCAACTATCCGAACACATTATCATGATATGTTGAGGGTTTATCATACAAATTATCTTTCATGTTTCCTATTGGTAGTGATAATAAAAAAAAAAGATCCACATGAAAATAGCTCAGAGAAACATAATGCACACTATTGTATGTCATAAACCTTCCTCTTCAATAATAATAATACAGTAGAGGTAGTAATAAGTACAGTGACCCCTCCGTTAACGAACTCAATCCGTTCCAGAAGGTCATTCGTTAACCGAAAAGTTCGTTAACCGAAACCATTGTTTCAATGGGTTTTTGGGTAATTGGTTCCAGCTCACCGAAAATTTAGAATGGGGGTGGAGGAGAAGGAAGAAGAAGGCATTGGGGTGGAAGAAAGTCACCCCATGGCACCATTTCACCCATAAAATTTTAGCTCTCTTGGTGTAATTCAAGATTATTTTCTTTAAATCAACACTGCACTGCATTATATATTGTCAATATGTAAAATATATTTCAAAATGACCAATAATTTGCTTGGAAACACAGAAAAAAAAGCGTTTAGTTGAAGAGAGTCTCAAGCAAGATGTTACCTCCAGTGAAAACAGAGAGAGACTAACTCCTGTTTGCTGTGTTAAGAGGCTGGATGCCACGCATTAAACTAGTCACTTTACCTTCAATTATGTTCAATAATTGTTAAAATGACTAAAAAATTGAATATTAAACTTTTAAAATTATTGAATAGTATAAACTTCTTGATATTTACTAAAATAGTAAGGAATTTAAGCCCTAGAACCGATTAATGTATTGGCGGACTGATACTAAAGCTGGTTGCCCGGTCAGTGCAAGCGAAAACATGTTGAGGTCGGTTCGTAAGAACTTCGTTAACCGAATTTTTTTTCGTTAACCGAATTGAAGATCCTTATGGAAGGCAGTTCGTTAACCGAAATTAAGTTAACCGAGGCGTTCGTTAAACGAGGGGTCACTTTTTAATAATAATACAGAAACTTGTTTTCTGATCTACCTTTTGTGGTGGGTAATCCTAAATGTTTTACTGTAAATAATTAACTACAAGACTCAATATACAGTACCAGATGTCCATAAGTTATAACATTATTAAAATTTCCTGCAAATACCTGTACTGTACTGTACATACATTGATTATTCAATATTTGGTTAAGTGAAACAAATCATTAACTGCAGGGAAAAATCCTTCCTCCTCTACTTCCTTTAAAGTTGACAAGGAAGACACTTACAGTAATATCTCCGTTAGCTGGAACCTCTCAAACCCGGAACTCTCCGATAGCTGGAATTGAAATTTTCTCGGAAGATCGTTTCCAAACCCGGAATTTTATGGTAAATTCCGGCTTTGGGAACGATTTTCCGAGGGACACATTTTCCGGAAAATTCCGAGAACATTTTCCCGTTACCCGGAAAATTCCGGGGATGAGGGATTTTTCTCCTGCTCTGAGAGAGTCGTCTCGTTACCCGGAAATCTCTCATTCCCCGAAGTGCTCTGCACCAATTGTTCCGGCTAACGGGGATATCACCGTATTTTAGTGGGGAGGTAAGAGGCTCTAATACAATAGATAAAGACTGTACCCAGTGAAGCTTTCTGAGAGTGGTGACTGTCTGTAGAAGTTTATGAGTTCCATGATGTCCTTGAAGTAACGAGCCTCACTCAAGTAGAAGTAGCCACCTTCTTCCTGTCGTAAAATTCTCATGTGTTTCACCTCGCCCATCGCCCTGTCCGAAGGAGAGAAACACACTTAATATTGTGCAGTCTGATTGTCCACTGTTATGTGATTAATCTAAAATTCTTGTTATACTACTGTACCTGCACTACTTAATTTGACTAAAAAAATTACCTTTCACTTTAAATAAACATTCAATCATCAGTTATCACAAATGAAAGATAGTTATGATTTGTCTCATTCAGGATCTAAATGTAAATTAGAGAATAGATTTATGCCTACCTCATGCCTAAAAAAAGCAAACACATAAAACTCATTATCTCACTTGAGTGACAAGATGAGCTTTTCGTGACGGTCAGACCAGCGGATGAGGAACGTTCCGTTTGTAGATAGTCCCAGGTGGATCGTGGCATCGTCTCGGCTCATTCTCTCGGCCCACCAGGGGTACTCTTGCACTTGAAGGTTACCATAGCCAGGGTACTGTGTGAGAGGTGTTAGTCATAATGTTACCACCATACAAAAGAGTAATTTAATTGAAAAAAATATGAACTTAACTAGTTAATGTTTAAAAATCAAGTAAACTTAATAGAAAAAATATAATTAACTAACTAGTTAAATTTGAAAGAATAACAATTAACTGTGGTAAGAGAAAATACCAAAGCTATTTTTTATTTTCTAAGTTGATACAGTAAACATTTTATTTTGGCAGGAACAGATATTATTATGTATAGTACATCACTAATCAGACTGAGGGGAGAAAGGAAATATTACAGGGGAACCTTGCTACACACTGTACAGTACTGTACCTCTGTTGTAGCTACTGTGGAAAAAATATAAAGGCAGGACCTTTATTTTTGGTGTGGGTGTCTGAGATGACTCAGTAAGAGAAGATTGTTTGTCAGTACTTTACAGTTTACTGCATTATAGATGTTTATGAATAAATATATTCCACTTATGAAGATTGTTGCCATGTCAGGCTAAAATGGCAGTGACCAATGCCCAAAACTGGCTTTCTTGAAAATATATTATGATATCATTCCATTGTTTAAATTACCGTACTGTACCTTAATAGATAATGAGCACATGCCAAATTTTTCCAAAGAAAATTGGAAGTGGGAGTACTTTAAAAACAAAGCTAAGAACATTACCCTCTATTAGAACAAGGCTTTATCTACAGTGTAAACAAATTCCTTTATGTGTCATGTAAGCTGTGGCGATATGATTTTTTCCACACGAGACTTCATATTTCTTCACTGTAATTTATTCCTGTATCTTTATTTCAGTAAATTCTAATATGTATACGACATGAAAGAATGTTTGTATTTCATGATATTACAGTACAGTATGTATAAACATTTCCTTTGTAAGCCCGAAAACACAGAAGCCCTACCTTGAGAAAGACCTAACATTCCAAAAAAAAAAAAAAATGTGCAACACAGAGTGACTAAGATGATTCCAGAACTAAGTCATCTGGATTATCGAAGTACTGTACACTGAGGGCCTTAGAACTAACAACCCTTCAGACAAGACATTAAAATTTTTGAAAGGGATGGGAAATGTAAACCTGGGCCATTTTTTTGGTGATGTCATGCATTACTAACACTACAGTATAGGAGTGGGCATGGAAAGTCTGACCATTATATAGTAAAAGTAAGACTATATGAGAGAGAAAGAAAATTATAAAGGGAAAGTCTTTGAGAAAATAAAAACAAAATATAAACTTACCCTTATAGACCCGTGAGCACCGATGGGGTTTGACTAAAAAAGGAAAAGAAAAAAAGAAAAAAAAAAAAAATAGAAAAAAGGTAAAAAGTTTGAACATAAAAGTTGGAAATATTTTTTAGATGTAAGCAGCACATGAGAGTATTGGGAGATGATATGAGGAAAATGCCCCCTGTTTAAGCCTGCTCTTGAATGTGGGCTTGAACTGTTATTGTAGTAGGTATCACATAGGTGTTGTACACAACTCCTTGTGCAGTGTACCAGTGTTGGACCAAACTTGTAACTCCTGGTCTAATAGCTGCCTCAAGAGCTAGCAAGGGTACTGATTCAAAACCTCATCCATTGTCTCAAACCATTTGGCTATAAATATGAGATGTATGGTTCAACCTTCAATTATTCCTGTTAACTTAAAACATCATCTAGGGAAAAGGAAAGGAATCCAGGCCACTTTAGTTTACCATATAGAGAGTGTTATCAGTGATGACCTGTGAGATTCCAAGCCAGTAAAGAACCAGAACCAGACTTGTAGAATAATACCAAAATGAACCATTTACTTCACTTATGCAGGACAGCAAAGCCTAAGACAACAAAAACTTTAAATTATAGTTGAGACACTAAGCTAACATGTATAAAGCTGACCTGCATGTGTAGTAATTTTAATAATAATTAGACCGGGAAAAATAGAAAGTGCTTGGCTGCTCTCAACAGGATTTCCTGTCTTTCATTGTTACATTTCATAAACACCTCAACCATTCTCAATATAGCTAGTGCTAGCCTGCATTAAATCTCCTCTTTAATTGTCCATGTTTTACTTCCATTACCCAGCACACTTCTCATGCTAGCTGCATATATGTTTTTTTTTTCATGCAAAGGAAAGGTCCTGTTGTCATCAATAAAAGCAGCAACTCCCTAAATTCCTCCAACTACTTCTGACTCTTGCAATTGAGCTGGCTTCAGCACCCCCACTAGCACTAGTCAGGGACATATCCCCAATGTTGAGCTTCTCCAGCCTTGCTTAGGCCACATGGTTACCTCACACACAGAACACTAAGTTAGCAAGATCCTGTAGTCTGCCATCCACTCCACTGCACCGCGTGTATCTACCTTCCACACTCACTGCACATTACTGAGTTACTGCCAACACCTTTCTTTGACAGCATATGGCCTTTTTCCTCTTTCCACCATAGGTTCCACACCACTAATCCATACTTTTGTTTTTTCTAAATTCACTATCAAGCTCCTTGACTCTATTCCTTCCTTCCCTTTATTGCTATTTTCTATCAGCGCTTAGTCATCATTACTTTATATAAATATAAAAAAACAGAGATAATGTACAGTATACAGTACTGTACATATTAATGATCAATGGCACAATGAAAGACCATCATTTGATGTGTGTGTTGAGAGCAATACTGTACTATGGTTGAGAAGCCATTAGACAAGAGAATCAATGCCAGAACAGAATGAACTCAACTTATATAAATTAATCTAAAATCATCAGTCACCTACTGAGAGAGAGTGTGTGTGATAACACTAAACAAACAGTGAAGGTGTTGTGTACCCCAACCAAACAGGGACCATAACTGATAAATAATGGTGTAAAACATTACTAGTAATTGCCTAACTAAGCCTTGATACTCATGATATATCTACCAGATCTTCCACAAGATACTGAAGGAAATCTAACTTTTGTATAAACAGACATATGGACTGAGTAACATATACATTCCACATATTCTAAGACAGAAGCATAAAAAACTATCTAGCTTGATACTGTATTATATGACTCGGCCTCACTTAAGCTTTTCCAATAACTGATTCTTTTTAATTAAAATTTGTTAACGAGAAATATAATCGAACAAACAGTTTACAATTACACTGTATCCTTGTTAATTTGTATCGTTATAATTCGGATTTGGGCTTAATTCCTAAGTTTTTCAAAATGAATTAAACTACAGTATTTGAATTTGGAATGAGTCTGAAATAACCGAGCAGTTCTGAAAATTTGACTTTTATTATAGGAATACATTTTGAAATAGATCAAGATGTATGAATTATATGAATAGAATATGAATTATTTTAAGATACTCGTACTGTATAAAACTACGTTTGGTGTACGTAGCAGTGGAGAAGAGCATAGACCTTGGAGAGGAGGTGTGGGAGGAGAGAACACCTCACCACCTCCTGCTCGGCAACTCACGATCCTTTTATAACGACAGCTTGCAATTTCGCCCATAATTCCCATATTATTTAGGTTTATTTGGTGCCGGGTTAATAAACTTTATGGAACAAATTATTAATCCCCCCCTCCCCCCAAAAAAATCCCACACGAGCTATTGCGTTGTAGTATATTCCTCTCTTGTTTACAGAGCGGTAACAGCTGATTGTTCCTGCTCTCCCTAACAGTGTTGTCAGCACTCACCATCTCTCAACCACCATTGTTGTCACTGCTCAAGAGGGTTGGTGCTTACCACAGGGTCTGTCTTGAGCACATAGTAAATAATATTGTAGTGTATAATGCATTTCCATATGCTCTAGTTTATTCACTGATCAGTTGTCTAAGTGAATGTAAGTGCAAAAGTAGCCAAATTGAGCCCTCATGTATCTGATATTTTTTAAATAGAAATTATAAATTAAAATGATATAAGACAATGGTTTAGTAGTGCTGTTAATGTGTGGGCTGTGTCACCACACCCCTTGCCTCGTCACCACACCCCTTACCTCATCACCACACCCCTTGCCTCATCACCACACCCCTTACCTCATCACCACACCCCTTGCCTCATCACCACACCCCTTACCTCATCACCACACCCCTTGCCTCATCCACACACCTTGCCTCATCACACACACCCCTTACCCCATCCTTGCCCCATCACCACACCCCCTCATCACCACACCCCTTGCCTCATCACCACACCTTGCCTCACACCCCATACCTCATCACCACACCCCTTGCCTCATCACCCTTACCTCATCACCACACCCCTTGCCTCATCCCTTACCTCATCACCACACCCACCACCACCCCTTGCCTCATCCCCATCACCACACCCCTTGCCTTGTCACCCACACCCCTTGCCTCATCACCACACCCCTTGCCTTGTCACCACACCCTTACCTCATCACCACACCCCTTACCTCATCACCACACCCCTTGCCTTGTCACCACCTTGCCTTGTCACCACACCCCTTGCCTTGTCACCACCCCTTGCCTTGTCACCACACCCCTTGCCTCATCACCACACCCTTGCCTTGTCACCACACCCCTTGCCTCATCACCACACCCCTTGCCTCATCACCACACCCCTGCCTTGTCACCACACCCCTTACCTCATCACACCCCTTACCTCATCACACACCCCTTGCCTTGTCACCCCTTGCCTCATCACCACACCTTGCCTCATCACCACACCCCTCAGTCACACACCCCTCGCCTAGTCACCACACCCTTCGCCTCGTCACCACACCCCTTGCCTCGTCACCACACCCTTCGCCTCGTCACCACACCCCTTGCCTCGTCACCACACCCCTCGCCTCGTCACCACACCCTTCGCCTCGTCAGCTCACCTCGCAGTGTTACACTTACTTATTACTGTATTATTTTCTTTATTATTACTTTATGTACCATTTAAAAAATAATATTTATGTTTGCTCAGTAATTATAAACAGATTATTTTATGTGGCAGCCAAGGCATGGCCAGGTGAAAAACGGAACAGAAAATGAACGAATCCTCCGACACAAAAATTCCGGAAATTGTTGAATATTGTAATGTCCAAATATACCGAACACGGTTAATTTGGATTTTTCGGTAATTCGATTGGCTCGAGCCCTTTTTAGTAAAATTAATGAGGGTACAGTGTATAGTGTTTACTCTAAACAAAAATAAATATCTATGCACATTTATCCAACTAAGATAATCTTTAAAGAAATATAACTAATGTTTATCAATTGTGTTGACTGATAACTTTCAACAACAATATGACTTACCAAAGAAGGAGGCTGATGGCCCTGTTGTTGTAAGGGCAATTGTGGAACACACCCATGGCACATATTCACATTACTCATGCAAGACTTGTGGACCACCATCCTGCATCTTGCACACTGGTATCCCTTTACAAGAAAAAACAAAATATAAAAATAACTTATAAGGCATATAATTAATTAATATCAGTGTCTGCCTTGGAGAAAAAATAATCTTCTGTAGAGTTATATGTTTAAGACATACGTAAAGGAGAGATACAGTAAAAATGTCTTATAATTAGGGAATCATACCACTGAAAATAAATGAGAAACATTAATAGTATACAGATCAAAATATAAACATACTGGCTCATTTTTGTTGCGTCTGGACGATCCAGTTACCGAGTGTCTTCTAGTTCGTTTACTGAGGTTCCTGGCTCTGCTGAAAACAGAGTGTCTCCTTCTAAGAGGCTGTTCACCAGATAAAAATTTATAATCTGACAGCCGATTAGACCACTCTTCACTCAACCCTTCATAGTCTAATTTTTTTTCTTCACTAGCCGACAGTTTTTTGTTTGCCTTTCCCAGAGACTCCATAGCTTCTTTGTCTTCACTGTTCGCAGACCTTCCCGTTCTTATGACTCGGTCTGAGAACGAACGCTTAAATAACTGACACTTCTTATTCAGTTTTGTAAAACCCCAATGAATTTTGTTGATAAAGTTTGGCTGTTGAGGAGGAACTGACTCATCTTCAGTAGTGTTCACTGACGTATGTATAGAAGATAAATCTGGCTCTGATAGCGATGATAAATCAGAAACTCTTCGATAACATCCTGCTTTGGTCTTTTCGAAGTTAAATATATTTTCTTTCTCCATTTTTATGTTACAATATCACAACACCACAAAGACACTCACTTTTAAAAACTGGTTATGGTAATTCTAGAAACATTGAAACACTGGGTAATATAAACTACAGAGGCATAAGTCGAGCTTTGACAAGAGCCGTACGACTTGTAAATGCACCAAGCCACAAGATAATACTGAAACAGGATGTGACTTCCTGTTCATGATAATGCCACAGCGCTACAGCTGTACCACCACAACAAAGAGAGTACAGTACTGTTTCCATAAAACTTCTACTGTACATGTAATATGAGTCCCTCACTATATAATTTGTTTAGTTATAATAATTTAGAAGGCATAAGTACTGTACAGTATTTCAATAATGTTTACAGACATTCTTTCTGTAAACAAAGAAAATAACTGTTAGCAACTAAAATAAAATGATTATTAAAACAAGAGAATTCATCAGTTTATGCTAAGTGTTAATATCTATTGAAAGGAAGATGATTGATAACCAAAATCTCTGGGGAGGAATTTGCACATATCTTCTCCAGAGGAACATAAGAACATAAGGAGTCTGCAATAGGCCGGTGCATGGCAGCTCCTGTCGAGAGTTACTACCACATCATCCATGAATCTATCTAGAAGGTTAATCTAGTACAGTAACTGCGATAAGACAGGTATTCATTTTTCCATAAGTTAATAAAAGACTCCTCCTCGAACAAATGAGTCATTGTAAAGCACAACACTTACTACTGGCTACAACAATACAATGGATATATATTTATAGCAGTTACAAATAAAAGCCAACAGAACAGACAATTCTCTTTATATCGACTAGTTTCTCTTGTTTCACCTGTTCAACCTCCAAGCCGATGCAACTGTGAAAGCAGTTTGTTGATTATCTGTAGCTCAAGTTATTTCTTAAATTTTTTTAGAGTTAAGCTTGGCTTTGGATTGAATAACTCATATGGTATATTAAGCAGCTGACAACTGTACCCACTACAGGATAAAAACTTTAACAGGATGAGCATTACTGCCCTCTACTGCCCTTAGGGACTGTGGGCTGGTAAAGTGAAAGTGGGGAAACACAAGAGGGAGTACAGTATGAGGATGGGATGATGCAGTAAGGAAGGTTCAACACAAGGGAGGGACTGATCATGTGTGTGGTACAGTACTTCACTGGTGTACTGATGATAATGGTTAATGGAATATCTGCATGCCTAGATGTTTGATCATTGTATTTAAATATTAACCACAAAGGTAATAATGGAATGCAGAAAGAGGGAAGATATGGAGGGATCAATCAATTATAATACTGTCCTCATATCTAAGGGTTGGCGACCACAGTCCTCCACTCTAAACGTTTTTAACTTCATTCATCTATCTCGGTCTCCGCCTTCCCGTGGCTCTCCTACCCTCAATGTTGTTCCTTAATATTTCTGTTATTATTCCCCTCATCCCTTATTATATGACCAAAGTATCGTACTTTTCTTTTTCTATACATTTCAAGTATTTCTCTTCCTAATCTTACTCCCTCCCCAACCACCATTCAACCCCTCTCAGTCAGGAGGATGTAACAAATTAAGAAAAAATTCTTGTCTTACCTGAAACATGCATCCTTTGAGCAATTTAACACACATATCACATTTAGTGCTTGGCTTGGTAAAGGTGGTGATGGCGAATTCATGGCCCAGTTCCTGATTCACATGAGGATTTAAATATTCTCTGAAACATCAATAAAGGTAAGTGTTAAAATGAGCACAATTCTATGGACAATTTCTAATGAGCAATATTCAATAATGAGTCATGAAATTAAATAATAGTAATAATACAGACAATATTAACCTGATGAATCTCTGTCTCCCTCACTAGCATATAGTTAGAGGTTTGATTCTTGACCAGAGGGGATATTTTGGGTTCCTCATACACCAGCACTTGTATCCTCACCTTTAAAGTAGATGGAGGGACAGGGTGATGGATGTAGTAGGAGTAACAAGGAGGGAAAATTGGATGTATAAGTCACAAGGATGGAGTGATGGTTGCAGTACAAGTCACAAGGATGGAGTGATGGTTGCAGTACAAGTCACAAGGATGGAGTGATGGTTGCAGTACAAGTCACAAGGATGGAGTGATGGTTGCAGTACAAGTCACAAGGATGGAGTGATGGTTGCAGTACAAGTCACAAGGATGGAGTGATGGTTGCAGTACAAGTCACAAGGATGGAGTGATGGTTGCAGTACAAGTCACAAGGATGGAGTGATGGTTGCAGTACAAGTCACAAGGATGGACCTCCAGTAAACAGTGACTTATAGTGGATGACTGGAGAGCATCATGGCATCAAATGTTTTTTCTGGTAGGGGGTGGGTAAGTTATTTATGGAGGGTACTAATTTGAGAGAGAGAGAGAGAGAGATACCACGTAGATAATTTGCCTCTGGTTGTAGAAGAGGAGCACAACAGTAGAAAACCATCCAATATAGCAAGATAAACATACATTGCCTCACTTATGTTCTTCATCCACTTCTGTTTGGCATCACTGTCCTTGGCTAGGAAGGTGTAGGCCTTCTTGTTGCCCTTGACGACCAGGTAAAAACTATTTTGCTTAACCTTTGTACTGCCACCGTGAGCTCCACCCACTGTGTCCTCCACCTTACAGTTCTCCAGCTTCACCCAGTCTTTGAAGACATATTTTTCGTCCTACCAATTACAATACACAATTAAAAAAAATATATCAGGAGTAATGAGCTTTTAAAACAGTATTATTAGGTAATTTATATAAAGTTAGAGATGTTTTTAAAAATTTATATTATTAAAATCAATAATGGGAAACTTTAATACAGTACAGCATACTGTACTGTACTGTATACTTTTTAACAGACTATTCAATGTGATTTATTGAGATGTTAAGAAATATATCAGGATAATATACAACTCACTGTTAATAAATAATAAGACAATAGACAAACATACCAATACAGTAATTCACAAAACAAACCAACATTCAAGTCACACTAGCTAGACAACAAGAGTGGGTCAAGGACAGTGGGTGTGTCGCTCACTGTACAGTGATTGTCATCTAGGAACTACTGTACACACTTCCTTCATTATACTTGTGTATACTATATGTGTATTTTGGCCTGACAACAGATCATGAGAAGTAAGAATAAAAGCTGACTTATGAAATTAACCTTGGAGCTCCATAAGGCTTCAAATAATGATCAAGAGAATAAATAAAAGGATACATTATACAGTAAACCCTTGGCATAACGGACACGGTATATAATGGAACCCGGTTATAATGGACACCCTAAATCTATCGGACAAACCATCACGTGTCCGTTATCCCCAAGATGATGTCCGATAGTTTATCACTTAAAAATCTGAGTAATAAAGAATGAATACATGTTACCAGTATGCCTTTTTTTATTCATCACCACACTTGTTACATCCTCCATTATCCTGTGAGCCATATGTTATGTTATGGTTATTCTTCACTTTTTATTTTTGGGTATACTGTACAGTATATAAAATTTTTTCTTTATTTTCATTTTATTTTTACTCAGCTGTCTCTCTTGTGTAGTGAAACTAACAAGTGTCCTGTATGGAAAAATGTTGTCGTCCAGTAGCCAAATGGGAATACATACAGTATACTGTAGTACTGTACTTTTTATTTCATTTTATTTATTACAGTATTATTATTTTTATTTAGTTCTCACATTTACTGGTATATATATTTTTCTTATTACTCAAAGGAGTTGGTAACTGATGGGAATTTAGTTGGTTACAGTGTTTATAGTGTCAGCCGTTGTGGTGGTGGTCACGGCCAAGACACGTTGGTGTGAATATGGCAGCTTGCTACAAATTATGTCTAGGATTATACGTAGTATTTCTCAAAAGATAGGGTCAAATTATACAAGAGATGATATGAAAAGTTCAAGATTTTTTACCCCCAAAATCAGAGGTCGAACTATATACTGTATGAGATTGGTATATACATGAGTACAGTATATACAGTAGCTTATATTGTATACTTCACCTAAGTCATCCCCTGTTGTTGTATATTGCACAGGTCGTTCACTATGGGATTTTTTTATTATTATTTTTTTTTTTCAGTTCAGAAAATCATAATAAGTCATTGAAGATGTCAGGAAAATATAACACTAGAGGAAAGAGTCTGTTTACTATTCACATACAGAAAGCCAAATGCTACACAATAATCACTTGCAAAAGAATTTGGTCAACAACACCCAGGCAGGTATCCCTTGGCAAAACAATGTAGTACGCATTGCTGATGTGCTAACCAACGAAAGTGAAGCAGCAGTTAAAACAACATGGCACATGAGAAAAAAATTCTAGTGTGACTGGCATTCATCTCTTACTAACTAGTGAGTCAGCCAATGATGCCCCTTTGCTCTGCCAGAGGACACATGTTGTCTGTGTTTATGACAAGAAGAGATCAGTTTATAGTTCATCGTGGTTTGTGTTGAGTCAGTATAATGTACCAGTTTCAGACCAACCACACTTTTCAATGGGATATAAAGAAAAGGAAAGAGAAATGCTGTATGCACATTCAGCATGTATGGACGTGCTCTAGTGCATGCATCAAACTGTCACAACACATCCATCCACTGACTTGAATCATCATTTAATTTTACTCAGAGTTGACAGTAGACAGTGGAGATGAACACCTACCAGAGAGAGGGGATGGGAAGGGGAGAGAGGTTTTCTGTCATAATCAGAACAGTTGGTAAAAAGTAAGAACAGATTTCCAAATTTAAGGATTTTGTTTTACAGAAAACATCTGTATTCTTTATTAGTTTGATGAAGGAAGAACTCAAGGATCTGACCATAAGAAAACCTTACTCATACACTCTTAAATAAAATAGATGGATCAAAATTTATATGAAAAGAGATGCATTCATAGGTAAAATCAAATTACAATATCAGAGTCTTATCAAAATTATGTAGTTACCCCAAGTAACTTCTCCATTATCTGTGACACACACAAGGAGTGGTAACCATGGCAGCAGGAAAATTAGAAATTAATAAAATTGTTAATTACACTTGATCACAACTAACAGTACAATAACTTCATCATACTATCACATAATGCACGCAATCATAACTAATGATACATTAAGGTCATCCTGTCACTGGACACCTGATTTATTAACACACACACGTCACTAAGACCTCGGTGAAATTTTAAGATTATCTTGGTATACTTGTCACTCTTCTGGACACCTATCATGCCTTCATAAGACACAACAGATAGTAGTGTAGTACTGTACTCATATGGCTCACTGTTCTGAAAAGCCTCATCAGCACCAAGCTATACAATTTGTGTATCTCATCTTTTCTCAGTCTCACCCATCCTAGAACTTTCTCATTATCATACATCCAGGGCCTCTGACTCTGACAGTTACACATGCTAAGTCTGATACAGTTTACAAATACCTTGTGACTGAGCATCTACCTTAAAGATTCACACATCTTGTAATTCTGACTGACATTTATATATCATATGATTTTGTCTTCCTTCTCTTTCCCAACATATTTTGCTAGTGTCTTGATCAATGTAAACCGCTGTCAACAGTACAGTCTTCAGATATATATGTAGGTGAACCAAGCTAACATGAACACCAATTAAGATGAGTTAAACAAACCTCGTCTCAATGAATCTTAATCCTTTACTTTTATCTTAACTTCTTTCTTTCATATGAGGCCTTACCTTGTGAATGCTTCCAACACTGATATCCTTATAACATACTGAAGCAGACATACTAGAAACTTGTCATACACTTTTCAGACTTTAAAAGTCATCTATCAACCTCTCAAAAATCATCAAACATACACCTCAGAAAAAGTGTATTGTGTGTCCTCTGGGGGTGTTATATATAGTGTGGGGGACAACTTATGTTTCTCACCTGCGGGCAACTTGCTACACAATGATCCATCACTTACCTCCTCTACAATACTTTGCTTACTGAGATACTGTACTGTATGTCACAACTTGTGTTGCCATAGTCAACGTGTGCAGCCAAAATGTGTAGTCTATTTATCTTTCCAATCAAGTTCAAAATTTTCTAGATTTCTCTTCTACCTCATCATTAACTGCCACAAGACTCTTTTAAATGACTGAGGGTTTACACATCTTAATACTGTACATAAACAAATAAAATCATAATGCTACTAAACAATAAATAAATCACAGTTCCTCCAACACAACACAGTGAAGTGCAACAGAGACAATTTCTATCTAGCCAATCCTGGTGGGGTTTGCTTGGACAACAGACACCGAAGAGCCCACAGTAACTGATTAGCACTTATTAAACAGCGGCAACACGTGGGTTAGTAAGTACCTCTATTGGCACCTCCCCCAAAGACCATCTATTCGAATTAGCACCTATGAACAGCTCGGATAATCTCTGTCAAGAAAAATTTAAGTCACCTATTTTTGTCCTCTATCATAAAATCTTGGGGAAAAAATTATCAGAACTTTTTAAGACAATATCAAAATTTGTTACTGTCAAAATTGTAATATGCAAAAGTTAAAACAGTACTGGACTGGATAAAAAAATTAACATTAATAATTAATATTCTTCATCAGTCACTTTTACTGGCAGGCAAACATAAAATACAAATACATTTAGTATCCATGGGTAAGGGTTAAAGTAAGTGTAGCTGCACATTAAATAACAATTAGTTAATGAAAAAAAAGTATATTTGATATCTTGTTTCTCTCCTTCAACAATAAGTGATTCCTGCTAAGTTGTTTGAGTATTAATTAGCCTGTATTAGTAAATGGAGAAGAACATCCACTCTTGACAGATTACAATAGTAATATTATCAGAAATAATTTGGGTCACTTGAGTTTGTTACATAAGTGTAATAACTAGAAAAATGTTGTGGTGGTCACTGCTTTTCCACTCAGTAACTCTAAAATAATTAAAGATGGTTAATTACCCTTGTTTGTCTGCCGCAGATCACCACAACTTTGTCGAACACAAATACATATCTGGAACAGTAGACGGAAAAAATAATAGTCCACTAGAGAAGATACACATTTAAGATAATGTAATTGTGGGTCTATGGAACAGTGAGGCAATTTCAAGTGAGATTCAACTTCCTTATAGCATGCAAGGATAACTATGATGTACATTCTAGTCAGAGTAGATACAATAACTGGGTCACTGCTTTTTACTGAAATCTACATGGCTGAGAACTTGCACAATGTCACTCTGAGTCATATTCCTTTGAAGTCAGGTGACAAAAATAGCAAACTACACTAATAAATAGCTAATAAACACACTTAACAACAAGAGACGGCTGGTGACTGAGCCGTCTCAAAGAACAATGAACATGATATGAGTTGTTAAACTCCTGAAGACACATTTTGGGTCAGAGGAAGTGATCATGATTACATGGCTATAATCTTTCCCAGAGTTTTGCCAAATTCTTAGACTAGTAAACGGCTACATTTTCTTTCACATTTTTTAAACAACTTCAGTAACTATCACTGTTCAGTATCAGAATGCCTCACACTGTACCATTCCACATTAAATCTTTAAGTTTCTCGAGGAATAAGCCCACAAACATGAAGTACTCAAACTATGAACCATCGGCCAGATCCTCCCCATAATATAATTTCTAGCAGCATGTGTCCACCTGGTCGGTGTGTCAACACACTAAGGATAGATTGGGACTGGAATGACCACATTACCTGAGTGTATATGAGAGGATGAAGTTCATAAAGTCACAGATGAGATCATGAGTGACTGATCAGCACCAGACAGTGAGGCTGTGTATCTGTTATGTTGCGAAAATATTAATAAACTGCTCAATGCCAAACAGGGATTTAGCTCTCATTCCAAGCCAACACATTCACAAAAGAACAGACTGAGTGTTCAAAATCAGATTTGTGCATACCCACTCCCTTTACTCTATCTTTATACAGTATTTTATTACTGTTTTCAATTTAGTGTTCATTTGAGATATTTAGATCACATAATAAGAAATTCCAAACAGGACTGACAAACTGATGTATTTCTGAAATGCTCCCTCCATTTTATTTATATTTTAACAGTACAGTAGGATCATTTTCACAAGAAATTCCAAGCCATGTTATACTGGGTGTCTCATGTATATACACTGCCTTACAACAGCTACATTTTCCTCATTTAAAAAAGAAGAAGAGAGTTTGAGGACCCCTGGTTTAGACAATTACTAATTTCAATAATATCACTTCTGCCAAAACTCTGGGAAAATAGTCCATTGTATAATTTCTAAAAGGTGCTGTGCAAAATGATCAAGACATATCTGGCTGGGGTGTGGAGAAGAAAAGTCTTGGCAACAGAGAAAATTGTGGCTGTCAAAGTGATGTCCTCAGTTGTATCATAATGAAAACTGGAAGAGGCAAGAGTGAAGAAAATGTACGGCAGAATAATTGAGTCGAGCGATGCGAGACACTCTATGGCGTGAGCAATCTTTGTGGTGGTTAAAAGTGAAAATTATGATTATCAAAGAAAATCTGAGACACATGAATGGTAATGGAGGAGAGGTTCAACATAATATTGATACATGAAATAATGCCAAAAAATACAGTATGACGAGAAAAATACAAAAGGCATAACATGAAAAAATACAAATAGTATGATTCGAAATTATTTCAGTATACAGTATCTGACTTGAGTCATCTGAGTATGGGCAAGTGGACAAAGGTACTGTGAGAGGAGGCTCAAAGTCTGCCAATTATATTACTTCAGGTTATCATTATAGTAATTGAATTTTTGCTTTTCATATCATATTGTGGAACCTATTTCAACATCTCAACGGGGGTGTAGCTGCATACACTTAAAAGTCAGAGATCCAAGACTGAACACAACAGGCAAATAATTATATTAGTTTAGGGGAAACAATTGCATTAACTTCTAAAAGAAATGTAGCTCTTAAAATGTTGAACATCTCAAGGTTCAGGAGAAATAAGTGCATTTACTTTTATAAGAAATGCAACTCTAGTGAATACAGAACAAGTAAATTCGTACCCAGAGAGACACGAGGATCCACGGGAACGACAGTGTGTACAGTACGGGGGGAGAAGTGGGTTAGCGGGAATAAGACAAGTGATGCAGAAAACAGCAAGAGCCATACATCTGTGTAGTACATAAGAATTAAAGAGACTGTGATTTTGGGTCATGGTGGCGGACTGCAGTGTGGATGCTATTCGGAGGCAGAAACAATAAGAAGTAAAACAATAAAAAAAAAAATGCTATTCGGAGGCAGAAACAATAAGAAGAAAAAAAAAAAAAAAAAAAGAAGTCCAAAATGTATTTCCTCCTAGTAGTATCCCTAAAGCTTATTGTTGAACTGTGGTGTTCTTATGGTGGCAGTGAGTTAATTCACTAACCTCTTTTTCGTTGTATCTGGGTGACATTCAATCCTAGTTTCTCCGTCGTATCTGAGTTTTCCGAGGTCTTCCAAATTGCTGATTTCACTTGGCATGTCCATTATACTCATCTGGAATTATATCTCGATTAAGGCATTACAATTCAAAAAATAAATCTTCACTGTCCTATCATATACTGTACAGGTAGAGTATATGTTTAACTTGTTTTGAGAGGGAAAAATCTCCAAACAGCCTGCAGTGGTGTGTGTGTAGTTTTTAAAATATGCATAAAATTAAAAAAATTTCTTGTGATTTGGGTGACCCTGTGATGTCACGCTCCACAACTTTGAATTTTTGTTTTGTCACGGATTCATTAATTATATTCTTGTATGATCGGCCTCTTATGGTGTGCGATTCATCATAAATAATACGTTTTCAATAATAGGATAAAAATATAATAAACAGTACTGTATTTGTAATTTGATCTTAGAATAAAAGGACAGGGAGTATCCAGAAGGGGGCAACTCTCTTCCCTTCTCACATATGCCCCTCTATCTCTTGTGTGTTGTTTGGTCAGCCAGTATAGTCCTCGGTTAAGAACTCAACCGAAGGTCGTTCGTTAACCGAAACCATTGTTTCAATGGGTTTTGGGTAATTGGTTCCAGCTCACCGAAAATTTCCTAAATTCAACAAAAATGGTAGAACTGTTCACTCACTTTGAGGTGTGTATGTAGAAGGCTCCTGGATGATGATGATGATGAGATTTAGAATGGGGGTGGAGGAGAAGGAAGAAGAGAAGGCATTGGGGTGGATGAGAAGTCACCCCATGGCGTCATTTCACCCATAAAATTTTAGCTCTCTTGGTGTAATTCAAGATTATTTTCTTTAAATCAACACTGCACTGCATTATATATTGTCAATATGTAAAATATATTTCAAAATGACCAATAATTTGCTTGGAAACACAGAAAAAAAGCGTTTAGTTGAAGAGAGTCAAGCAAGATGTTACCTCCAGTGAAAACAGAGAGAAACTAACACCTGTTTGCTGTGTTAAGAGGCTGGATGCCGCGCATTAAACTAGTCACTTTACCTTCAATTATGTTCAATAATTGTTAAAATGACAAAAAAATTGAATATTAAACTTTTGAAATTATTGAATAGTATAAACTTCTTGATATTTACTAAAATAGTAAGTAATTTAAGCCCTAGAACCGATTAATGTATTGGCGGACTGATACTAAAGCTGGTTGCCCAGTCAGTGCAAGCGAAAACATGTTGAGGTCGGTTCGTAAGAAATTCGTTAACCGAATTTTTGTTCGTTAACCGAATTGAAGATCCTTATGGAAGGCAGTTCGTTAACCGAAATTTCGTTAACCGAGGCTCGTTAAATGAGGGTCACTGTATAGTATTGACATTGTGACATTTTAGACTAATACGCATGGAAACCATTTATGAGAAATAAAATAAAGCAAGATATAAAAATTAAAATAATTACTGTACTGGTATATATTGTTTTATTATTTACATTTTATAATAATCGAGCTGCTGCTCCAGAGAATGGGGAGGGTGAGGGCAGTAGATGTTGGTCAGTTATACAGTATAGAACATGTACAATTATGCTAAAATTTTTAATATAAATATAACAGGATAGAGGATAGGGACAGTTGCCACGAGTAACAATAATTCACTAAAGAAGAAATCTCACCGAGCTAAACTTAAACGTTATGGCGAGGCAGCAGCCTGATTTTATAGATGATCACCGTCATTGGGGGATTAAAGAAATTCATCATCTATTGGTGATCCCATTGTTTAAGGGATAAGGGACTCACAGTCATGTTCAAGTCTGACAATCTCCAAAAAGTACATCGAAAAATAAACCTTTTTGTCAAGCTAATTTTCGTTATTGTGACTCAGGATGGCAAACCTAAACAAATCAGAATGATGAACCAAAACAAAACTGTAAATTTTGTATATACTGTACCTGGAGGTCATTTATTATTTGTTGCATTTCTTTGTCTCTTTTCACTTCGTTGATATACTCAGCCAGGTCCATCATTGCCTCGTAAGCTTTCTTTAGGTTGTGCAGGTCTGCGTGGTTCTGTAGAATAAATAACAATAAAAAAAAAATTAATTCTCACACCAGCTGATGGTACAACTGATGAGCTTATCAGAAAAAGTCAAACGTGTCATATATTACCAGAGTGATTCATGTATTAAAACAGTTGAACGAGAATCATGTCGGGTAAAAACAGTTGTAGTTATTAGAGACAAGTAAAAGGTTCCCTTCTATCTGGACAATCCATGGACTGGAAGCATTATTTTTCCTTGCTGATGGCTAGTACAGTACAGCACAGTACAGTACAGTATTATAAAGAAACATGTGCAGCTGACCATCCTCCTGACATACAGACCTAGCAGTATATAATACAGGTACAGTACAAGTTGTGTTGAATCAACAAGTATAAACTATCATCTCAATAAGGTTAATGACCATACTACACAAAAGTTTGTCTGTCGACTTTGGTACAATTAATCATAATCATCATCATCATCATCATCAATGTTTAATGGCCATTTTCCACGCTTGCATGAATCAACTGCAATTACTTGATGACAGCTGTTGGGTAGAACCAGAAGAGATGTCTCCCCCCCCCCCCTTGGGATCAGTAATGTCCATGGACTGGTAACTTTTTAGGACTTTGAGTGTTGTTTACTGCAGTTGAATACTTGGTGCAGTCTTACAAATGAGCAAAGATGAGAAGGAATCAAACAACAAGTTGAGAGAAAACTCCTGTCTGGTTAACTGTCTGCATATTCTCAAAATCCAAACTCCTGTGAGATTATCAAAAAGATATTCACAACTACCGTCCCATTGTCAGCATTTACATGTTACTATGACCAACTTCACATACAAATACCAAGAGAAAAGAGGAGCAACACAGTACAGTAGTGATAAGACATACGGGCTGAGTGTGACGCACAAGCTCCTGTAGTAAGAGATGATACTTGAGTATGCGTTGTAATGGCACCACCAGGTATTCCCGCAGTTGATGTCTCCCATCGCTTACTTCTCTTTGACATTCCTAAGAAAAGAGACAAAACAAAAGGATGTAAAAAATAAAAATAAAATTAACAAATATACTTCTATTTAAAAGGTAACTTCATTGTACAGGTTATTTGGTGAACCAGTCAGTGGGTGGGGAAGAGTTGGGAAACTTGACAGTGAACGAAGTAAAGCTCATGAGCGAATAGTTCTGGAATGTACTGATGAATTTTCCTACAGAAACTAAATGAGGGAAATAATATAGCCATTTTTCAGTGGTTGTATTTAAAATGTAAGGTTCTTGTGGAACAAAAAACTGTATTCAGTCTAAGTGATTCTCTGACACATCAATATACAGTGGCAGCAGAATATGAATGGAGTGATCCAAACGGTTAGGCCACCCACGCACCTGGCACGTGGGGATGTGTTGGAGCATGATACAATCTCAGAATGTCCTGAAAATGTTGAAAATTTATTCCCAGAAATAATGTGCCTGATTTCCAAACATGGAATTTGTTCCCAAACCCAGAATTGAGAATTTTTCCGGAAAAATTCCGAGCAAATTTCACTTCTGGCTGTTGGAGAGTTCCAGCAAACGGACATATTACTGTCATGACTTCATCATTTCAATAGTAGGTCATAGGCAGCTACCAAACAGGGAGGTACTACCGCCTGGGAAGATATTGGAGCATAATGTGTTGTCTAATGGTAGACCCTGCTGCCATATGGCATCACGAAAATTGTGACCAAGTCCCAGGTTGCTCATCTGACTTTCTGCCTCATTTACACACAATTGTAGGGTCTCGGTTGTTTCTATTACCATTGACAACACAACATACATATATCGTTTCTCACTGCTGATTTTTTTATGGTTCTTTATTATTATTATTATTAGTACAGTATTGTTATCATTAATATTTTATTATTTTTATTTTTGTATTTTTTATTATAAATTTGATTTATCTGAATTATTATTATTATTATTATTATTTCATTTTCGCCCCCCAGGCCCCGATGTGGGTCAGTGACTTGTGCCCAGGTAGGTTAATCCCTGTAAAAAAAAGAAAAAAAAAAAAGAAAATGAAACAAAGATTATTTCTTAAATACAGGTAATAGTTTGTATGGAGTATTCCAACTAGTGATTTAGAGACAATCTGTTCCTTAGTTTTATTTTAAGATTATCATATTTTTTTTATCATTATCACCATTTATCGGCTTACTAGCCATTTGGGCGGTTGGTCTATCCAGTGTTAGTATTGGAGAACGGGAAAACTGTGATATCATGCAAGGTCACACTGATAACATCCTTATCACGTGTGTCCGGGCCGAAGGTTGAACCCTGGACCTGTTGGTGAGAGATGTGTGTTACCGCTGTACCACCAGCAGCTGAAAAATTTATTTCAGGGTACAGTAATGTATCATTGCCTCTTGTGTTCTTCTAAAACACTTCAATTGAGAGTAAAAATTTTATTCAGTGCAGAAATTAAACCAAATTGAGATAAAATATCCCCATCTCCACCACTGACGCCTCAAATTCTCCAAATCTGGGGAAAATTTCCCATGTTTGGCAACACTGTTAGCAAGTGAGTTGTGACTGCCAGTGTAAAAACTGCCTAGTGCACATTCATTGATATGTTTTTTTCATGCCCTTTTCACAGGTTATAACAAAAATATCTCTTCGTCTCTCTGCTGATGTCTCTTTTTTCTCAACCAGCTCTAGATTTTCAACTGTAACATAATTTACCCAATCAGGGATGGCATCCCCCCACCCCCCTCCCCAAAAGCTATGCCACTGGGTACAACCATTCTGCTCCATTTAGGTGAGCATGAAATACAAGAATGAAAGTCAAATTAAAACACTTGAAAGATTCAGATACGTACTCTTTTTTTGCCAGTTAAATACTGTCATTAAATTTTGAAGACTTTTCCGTAAATTGTGTCCTAAATACAGTCAGTCCCAGACTTATGACGGGGTAAGGGACCGAAGACCAGCTCGTAAGTCGAATTGGTCTTAAGTCAGAAATGCAAAAATAATACAAAGAAAATCTAAAATGGGTGTCACTTTTTCTTCTCAGCACCACAAAACTCTCACTTTTATTCTTGCCAGACATTTTAAAGGAAATTACAAAAAATTTTTTTTGTCAGTACACAGTGCAATCACTAACGTCGGGACTCGAAAATACGTAATTTGAAAAAAATTTGGTACGACTGCGGCGGTCGTATGTCCGGGTGGTTGTCGAGGAGTACCTGTATGTGGTCCTTCACCATCTAGCTTTAAGTCTATCCGACAACCTCAACTTACCTGAATTACGTTTTTAACCGTTTCATTGTTATTCATAACGTCTTCTAGTTCTTGTTGAGCAGTTGTAAGGTTAGCACAATAATCTCCATATAAAAGAAGATTCTCTTGGTTGTCCAGGAACACTTTGGAGACTGTTCTGTTGTGGGAGTTATTCTGTGCTTCTTTGAGACCTCCATGTAGTGTGCTGTGGATTTTGGCCAACTCCTGGAGTGGTAGAGATATGTTAGGTTCTTTATTCATGACTGGTTTATCTTGATGTATCTCCCAGAAGTCAGGCTTAAGGTCCATGGGTCATAACCACTATAATATATACTGTATCAGGAGACTACTTTACTGTGTAAACCATTTTGGCACAAATTAAGGTCAATTTAATGGCTGTGACTTTTCAATGAAAAATTACGGTACAATAAAAATTTGATGAAATGCAGTTCCTCGGATGATAAACAACACAACTTCATTCACCACTCAGAACCACTTGGTCTGTAGACATGACTTAAATGTGTATGGGTATTAAGGTTTTTTTTTCATAAGCAATGAAAAAAAAATCAACTTAAATCTGATGGAGAAAGAAAGAACAAGAACCAAATGTCATCCACCTGCCATCATTCATTCTTACTTCACTTACAAACTATATTTCATAAACTCGGGAACAAAATTATTACCGGGATTTTGCAGAATACTTTTTGTAGTTGTTCTTCACTTATCAATTTTTTTAACGGTTTGTGGAATTTATTACAAAGCATGTGTAACGCGTCAACGTAATTGTTCTCGGTTTCTACCAGCTCCTGAAGACAGAGATCTCGCTTTTCTTTGGGTATATCCTGTAAAAAATATAAAAATTTTAGTAAATGACCATAATTATTAAAGATTATAAACGGAAACTTCTATAATACAAATTATTATTTTATTTCATTTTACCAGATCTAACAAACAAAAGCATTTATAACATTGGAAAACATACACACAATATTTTACCTTTATTCATTACCATTCATCCATTCTTACTTGTCCCTAAGTCTCTTCTCCTTTGTAAAACCAGATTCCTCTCCTTTCACTCATCACACGCACACACACATACACACGCGCACATGCCTTTGTTTATTTCTAGTCACTAAATACAAAAACACAAATGTTTATTTACTGTACTACAGTATACTGATTATACAACAGCAAGTGATAAATATTTATTTACAATATGACAAATTTTCACAACAGAATATTTGCTCTTGATCGTGAATGGTCTGAATTAGCAAGCAACTACCATACACAGCCACAGTAGAAAAAAACAAAAATTTATGCATGGCAATAAAGCTTTTCCGGCAGAATGAGTTATATGTAAGAATAATGAACTGCCTGTGAAAAAGAATATTTACTTTAATTGGATAAAGGCAGAAAACTGATAGAAGATCAGGGTATAGGAGGTGGGCAGGGTATGGGAGGAGGATCAGGGCAGGGTACAGGAGGTGGATCAGGGCAGGGTACAGGAGGTGGATCAGGGCAGGGTACAGGAGGTGGATCAGGGCAGGGTACAGGAGGTGGATCACGGCAGGGTACAGGAGGTGGATCACGGCAGGGTACAGGAGGTGGATCAGGGCAGGGTACAGGAGGTGGATCACGGCAGGGTATGGAAGGTGGAACAGAAAGGAGGACATGTAAAGCAATTAAAAAAAAAAAGTAAATAAAATATGAAGGAAAAAACACAAAGATCAAATAAATATCTTGTGTTATGATTAAACTGTAACTCCTTCAGAGAACATGACACATATGTACTCTGCTGTACATAAGAATGGTGTCGCTCTAATGTACTGTACGTAAAATGTTCTAATGTACAGATGCCATTTTTGCATAACCTTTGTTAATAAAAATGTTGGCTGAGAATGATGGCACTATAATTAGTGCACCATTAGACAATTAAGCACAACAGAAAACTCATTGATTTTTTATTTGTATGAGAAATGCCAATTATTTCTGATTACATGAAATTAATTTGCAGCATTTAATCGTGTCACCAATGAGTACTAAGCACTTACCACATACTGAGGCATTCAAGGCGGTAACATGCTAAGTGTTTCACAGCAAGGTATTGGCAAAAGGGTTGAAGAATATGATGAGAGCAAAATAATGGCATAGAACAGTAGGTACTCATAGCAGCATATTACATGAGGCAGGCAACACGAGTACGTAATACCTCCTTGAAGTTGGACGGTTCGTCATATATATGCATGCTTTCGTCGTCTTCCTCCAACAACTAAAAGGACATGCAGTTAGGTAATGTGAGAGTCAGTCACCTGCTTACATCAATAGAACCAACCATACTCAGGGCTTGAAGCTAAAACTCACTACCACAACATTTTATTTGACCACAATTCTAAGAAGCACTTTTTTCCCCACCTTAATGCAGGTTTTTATGGCAACCGCATAAATTCTTGCAAAACAACATCAGCATTATCCTCACTGGTTGATGTGCGAGGGGTCCCACAGTCTTCTGGGAGACTCTGCACATCAACAAGTGAGGACAACATTGCTGATATAATGCAAGCATTTTTACAACCAACATGATAATATGCAAGGCAGTGTATACATATATATATATATATATATATATATATATATATATATATATATATATATATATATATATATATATATATATATATATATATATATACTTTTTTTTAAGACACCCTGTTTACAAGTTATAGTAATTAAGACAGTTTGTCAAGACACAGTTGCTAATGATGGACTCGTGACATTTAAACAACAGTGGTCCCTCGGTTAACGAGTTACCTCCCATAAGATTCTTAAATTCGGTTAACGAGTTACCTCCCATAAGATTCTTAAATTCGGTTAACGAGCAACCCCTCGGTTAACGAGTTTCTTACGAGCCGACCTCAACAAGTTTTGGCTTGCACTGGGCGGTCAACCAGCTGTAGTATTAGTCCGCCAATTCATTAATCGGTCCTAGGGCTTAAATTCCTTACTATTTTAGTATATATCAAGAAGTTTATACTATTCAATAATTTTAAAAGTTTAATATTAAATTTTTTAGTCATTTTAACAATTATTGAACATAATTGAAGGTAAAGTGACTAGTTTAATGCGCGGCATCCAGCCTCTTAACACAGCAAACAGGCGTTAGTCTCTCTCTGTTTTCACTGGAGGTAACATCTTGCTTGAGACTCTCTTCAACTAAATGCTTTTTTTGTGTGTTTCCAAGCAAATTATTGGTAATTTTGAAATTTATTTTACATATTGACAATATATAGCACAGTGCAGTGTTATTTTAAAGAAAATATTCTTTATTTAAAACATGTTTAACTTTGAAAAGCACGTGTTGACATTGTTTGAATCCAGCATGGGGCCTAAGAGATCAAGAAAAGCTATTTCAATCCAAACCAAGCAGGAAATCATAAAAAAAACATGAACAAGGCATTAGAACAAATGCGCTATGCAAAGAATATGGCATGTCGACATCAACTGTGTCGACAATTCTTGCACAGAAAGACAAATTTAAAGAAGTGAAAGTGAGAGACAAATCTACACGAGTGTTTAAAAGTAGATCCCAAATTGCAGAAACTGAGAGGTTACTTATCATCTGGATTAGGGAAAAACAGATGAAAGGTGATTCAGTTTCTACTGAATTCATTTGTGAAAGAGCCAGGGAGATTTACGAACATTTAAAGACAGATCAACCTGGTTCTTCAGGCACAGAATTTGAAGATTTTCGGGCCAGCAAAGGCTGGTTTGAAAAATTTAAGAAAAGAAGTGACATTTTCAGTGTTGTTAGGCATGGTGAAGCTGCTAGTGCTGATATAGAAGGGGCAGCAAAGTTTTTAGATGAAATTAAAAAACTGATGGAAGAAGAAAATTATCTTCCACAGCAAGTGTTCAATGTGGACGAAACTGGGCTGTTCTGGAAAAAGATGCCCAAAAGAACATTCATCACCAAAGATGAAGCCTCTTTACCTGGGCATAAACCCATGAAAGACCATCTCACTCTATTGCTTGGTGCCAATGCTTCAGGGGATTTCTGACTGAAGCCTAAGCTTGTCTACCACTCTGAAAACCCCAGGGTGTTCAAGCAACAGAAAGTGGTAAGAACAAAGCTTGGAGTTTATTGAAAGTCCAACCGTAAGGCATGGGTGACAAGACAGCTCTTTAATGAATGGGCTGTTGATGTGTTTGGCCCTTCTGTCAAGAGCTACCTAACCACCAATAAACTCCCTTTAAAGGCTCTTCTCCTCATGGATAATGCTCCTGGTCATGACCCTGACCTTGCCAGAAATTTGGAGTATCAATTTGACTTTGTGAAAGTGTTGTTTTTGCCTCCCAACACTACATCAATCATACAGCCAATGGACCAGAATGTAATCAGCAACTTCAAGAAGTTGTACATGAAGAAAATGTTTAGGAGGTGTCATCAGGCAACTTCCAATGATCCTGAACTAACACTGAAACATTTCTGGAAGATACAATTCAACATCCTGGAGGCTGTAAAATTGATTGTGTCCTCATGGCAAGAAGTCTCCACTAGATCCCTCAATTCTTCATGGAAAGCACTGTGGCCATCAGTAGTCCGTGATTTTGAGGGATTTGAGGAAGAAACAGAGTTGGACCAGGAGATTGTGTCCATTGGTCAGTCATTGGACCTTGAAGTGGAGGAGGAGGATGTGGAAGAGCTTGTGATGTCTCATGAGGAGGAACTTACTCCTGATGACTTGAAGCAACTGGATGAGATGTTACAGGTAGAGGCTGACAGTGGTGAGGAGGAAATTGAAAGTGATGACCATATGTCAGCTAAACAGTTGAAAGATGTGATTTACTACTGGGAGAAGTTCAGGGAGCTGGCTTCAAAGCACCCAGAAGTGGAAAAAACTGAACTAACTTTGTGTCATGTTGAGGACTCAGTGGTCTCCTTCTTTAAACATAAGTTAATGGTGAGGAAGACAGATGCCCCACAGACCACAGTTGACACTTTCTTCAGTAAAAGGCAGAGGGAACAAGATGCTATCCCTCAGCCTTCCACTTCAAGAAGGAGAGAGGATGTTCATGGTGGAGAATCTGTCAGTCCAGAGGTTCCTGACATTTTCATGGAAGGTGACTCACCTTCCAAGAAGCAGTAAAATGCTTCTCCTCCACCTCCACTTCCTTCTCTTCTCCCTTCTCCTCCACCTCCACTTCCTTCTCTTCTCCCTTCTCCTCCACCTCCACTTCCTTCTCTTCTCCCTTCTCCTCCTCCACCTCCCACTTCAAATGCACATCATCATCACCATCATCCAGGAGCCTGCTACATACACACCTCAAAGTAAGTGAACTTTTCTACCATTTTTGTTGAATTTAGGCAATTTTCGGTGAGCTGGAACCAATTACCCAAAAACCCATTGAAACAATGGTTTCGGTTAACGAGATTTTCGGTTAACGAGCAACCTGCTGGAACGGATTGTGCTCGTTAACCGAGGGACCACTGTATTCATCATAAAACAAAACACCAGGACAACAAGAGATTATTTCCAGCCCACAGCACAGTTCTCCTTAACTCACCTGCAACAATAGACTCTACTAAGCTTCAAGCCCTGAAGTCCGGTGACTCATGTTTAGTATACAGTAATGAACATCAGTCACGTACTTGAGACAGAGATGAGACCATTTGCAATTTTAGCCTCTATGTATCACCTGAAGATTAGCCTGAGGTTTAAGCACCCTAAAATTACAAAAGGGGACCAATCTTCAGGTGCTTCATCAAGGCTAAATTTACAGACGGTCTCATCCTCGATCTCGACTACACCATTGGTACACTTATTAGTTATAATGTATATTCCATTTCTTCCAGGGATCACACAAATGAGAAACACTGTTCTGTAAGAGGCTCCCCATTCTGGTTTATATCCTTGTGCATCTTAGAGAAACAATCAAAATATTGTTATCTTTTAAACTTATTCAAGAAAACATTGAACAGCACATACCATTACTCTCATGCACCTGTATATCATGCACATTGAGGCAAAATTACTTAAAATGCATTAAACTGGTTCTAGTCTTCCATCAATAGCTGACTTAGGATAATGCGATGGAAATTAAATAAAGATTAACGAGATAATGGATAAAAATAAGAAACTGTTGCTTGTGGTGCCATTCCCATGAACTGGTTTTAGGGTTTGTGTATTGTTCCTCCAAACCCTTCAAGGAATGACAGCAACACATATACGTTCTTCCTAAAGCACACATCACTTCTACCTCCAGTGTGTCAAAAAGGAAAATATTTTGGATCATAGTAAAGAAGATTAGCCCCCAGTTTATTTTAACAGATGATTAACACCCAATTGTTAACTAATTCAATCTAACCTATCCTAACTCACCTAAGGGTTATTACAGTGTTTAATCATCAGGTAAAACAATAGGCTAACCTTCAGGTGTTCCCCAGTTTCTTTTTTCTCAGGGTGGTCCCTAACACTGCTCCCTTAACTTAAGTCACCTTGAAACTGTACATTGGTTTTATTTGGGGGAGGAAAAGTTTGTATCTGCTATGCAATCACAAACAGTATGGGATGTGGAAAAAACTCTTGAGAGACTGGGATGTTTACTTCTCTACTTCAGACCTCTCTATCTTATTCAAGAATTCGTATAATAATCAAGAAATACCAGTAGACACCACACCATCCAGTCATTCAAGTACAATGCTCTTCCTTGGATTTCTGTCCCCCTCACCCCATCCCTCAATCTCCTTCTTCACCTGCCCCTCTCTTTTGTACTATCCATTTCTCAAGTAGACACCTTTTTTAACCAGTTCTGAATATCAATCCTCTTAAATCTACCAGTAGACTATCCATCAGTTTCCACTACATGACCTCACCCTACTCAGCAATCTCCTATCTATGTACCTCTCTCTGAACAATGCCACACTCTCCTCCACTCTTCCATTCTCCTCCTCACTCTATCTCTCAACAACACTATATACTCCTCTCATCTGCACACTCCTCAACCTAATCTTGTACAACACCAAATGGAACCCCTACCTAACACCCCTGTTGTTCACACACTCCCTTTCACCTCATCCCCAGTCTGCTTCTTCCCTTTACATCTCATTTGCACCTTTTCATCCACTGTTTTTATCTTATCCTTCCAAAAATGCCTACAATAACTATGAAATCCATCCTTTGTTCTTCTCTTCGGCCATCTTTTCTCAATTCTATAGCTACTTCTCCACCCTGTTAAGTCTTCTCTGCAATGATACAGTACAGGGTAGCTGGAGTCAACACAAGGACTCCTATCATTCACTGTCCTTCATTCTCACTGCTGTCGTCTGAGTGTTCTTCAGTCGGAAGCTTTAATTTTCCCCTTAATTTCAACTTCTGGGTTAAATTTTCAGCTTCTCATTATAATAAATTAAATCACTTTACTTCTCTTGACTTCACTTCTAAATGCCTAGACAGATTGTTAATATTTTCTCTCCATTTTCCTGCTTTACCTTTATTTCAAAGATGGAAAATGCAAGTGAATAATGGCACTCTCAGCCTTATCCATGAATTCTACCAAATGGTGAATAAGTTATAATTATGAATGATATAGAATACACACACTTCATTCTACTTCCTCCACTTGAACATCCTCTGAGACTCAAGATCTTAAAACTGTAGTATTTCTTAACCTTTTCCTAGAACTTACAGCATCTAAATTCATGTTATTTTTAAATCTTTTCCCTAAGGCCATCAATCTATCGTTGTACCTTTACATTTTCCTGGATTGTGTCACTTAACCTCTTCCCATGCCTCACACTGCACTCTCTTTGACCTACCTGGCGTGGGTGCGTGTGGCATAGTTTGAGATCTGCGTATATTTTCTCATCTTTAAAAGCGAAGTCGTTTTCCTCTTCAAATGTCCTTATGTTGCTGTTCATGAGGTCACCTGCTGGTCCACTGCACATCAGAACAAAATATGAATATTTGCAAACACTACATTCATCTATAGCAAAACAGGCATTTCTTGTCATGTGCTAGAAGCAGACTGAGCTTTCAGTACCCGGTAACCCAAATTGAACAATAAACTTGTTTTCTTTAGTTCCTGAACAAAGCAAATATTTTTTTCTCAGTTCACAAACTATAGAAATTTTTTGTGAGTTCATGAACAATCAAAATTATTTTTTCTTCTAAATTAGCTCTTATGTTACTTCTTGCACATGTCATTGCACACCAATCAAAAATGACTGCACAGTACATGCAAATATTAAGCAAGCCAACCCATGTCTGCTGTACAAAATAAATACTACTGCTTTCAATCTCTTCCTTCCTTTATCAACTCTATATTATTTAAACACATCATCATAAACTGAGTGTAGGTCTGTAATAACGTTACATTTAATACAGTACAATAGTACCTTTCTTTGGGTATCAGAATTTTAATTAAATTTTTTAGGTGTGTTTTATGTGTCTTCAGTTCCCATAGTCCAGCATCTTTGACAATCCACCAAAACAAAAATGAAAAAGTTGATGGCCAGGGTGTTGAAAGAATAATTTAAGACCAACGATTCCAGGAAAAGCAGGTCAAGGTTACCTATCTGGAAATTGGGCTTGTACTGTTTGGTTTAATAAAGCAGCAGGATGAACAACAGAGTTATTTATGGGAATGTGTTGGCTCTGTGTCGTGTTAGAGGTTGTGACTGTGCTCAAACTGAACCAGTGGGAGGGATCAGAGAACTGTCAGGATCTTAGTGGGTAACCTGCATCATTAGTCGGTGAGAAGGTTAACCTAACTTTCTAATACGGCATATTGCCTGATGTACTGTACTGTAGGTTATAAATTTCTGGTTAAATTTTCTGCAATAAGCAGACCAAGATACTTAAGACGACTGTATGTAAATCCCTGAGTAGAGATAGTTGAAGGTGTAGGGGACAGGAAACAAGCAAGTGTCAATGACATGGCCACTAAACAAATAGGGATGAAATGGATGTCTTCCATATTTATCATTTCTACCATTTATCAGCTTACTTAGCCATTCAGGTAATTGGTCTGTTCTTTCACTTCATGGTCCAGTGTTAGCACAGGAGGAAACTTAAGTACCTGGAGAAAACCTGTAGTGTTTGGTCGTGTTGTGTCACATTGGATAACACCCTTTTCATATTTGGCCTGGGCCGGGGATCAAACTCAGGACACAATAATGAGAGGCATGCATAGTATCACTGTACAACCATGTACAGTACTGTACTGTATAATAAACAAGATGTCTCAACTTTTCAGCCTAGTTTGAAAGCAATCCATTCCCATATACAGTATTTGAAATATAATTGTTACCAGGTAAACAAAGCCTAAATGACTAGCCCTTGTATCATGCCAGTGAGCATGGGAAGGAAAAACATGTGTACAGTATAGGCAGAATTTAATGTTAATAAATGAAATGCTTAAGACGTATGAAGTTCATTTACATACAACATCTCACTATGAGTGTGGTAAGTGGTTCCCTTGATGCAGATGATGACAGAACAGTACTAATCTGAAGTGAAGTGTAGGAGAAGCAAATTATCAAAAAGATACAATATAGTAGACATTTAATTTCTTGCTCCAGCTCGTGTGCTGGACAGGCATTTTCCTTACTACTGTTCACAGCTTCTAAAGTAGTTTATTGTGGATCATATATCTACAAGAGGCATTTAACCAATTTTAGAGACACATATGGTAAAGAACATACAGTATTTGCTACCCTATACTCAATTTATGACATTGTATCACAGAACTATATAGTATATATAGTATATATAGTATACAGTACTATATGCCATCAAGGAGGAAGGACGGAGATTTAGGTGTTCGTTCTCAATCAATACAGAACTCTTCTTTTTGCACAATACAACTACCCATGAAGAACAACACATCATCTTCCTTTATGTCTACAGTACAGAGATTCAAAAGTGAGCAATTAGGTTCATAAAACTATGTACCGTAAAGCAACGCTACAATATTATTAAAACAACACCGTTACAACACATACACGACTTTGTACCCAAACTGTAGATAAGATTAAGTAAGAAGGGAAGGAGACTCAAGCATGGGAGGGGGGAGGGAACAGCATACAGTCTTATAATAATATTTAAATTTGGATAAGGAAATAAACTAGCATTACGTATACACACTGGACATTATACTCCGCACACAAAAGACAAACTATGAAAACATTAAACACAACACAAACAATCCAAAATGATGAAGAACCACGTGACAACCTGCAGTTTGTAAGACATGCAGTCTCCAGAAACACACTACACTACTGTACTGTGGTAGGCAAGGGACATTAAGCAATCACATACAAAACCCATCACACAATAATCTAATACCTCCTTAGGTTTGAGTGTCACATAACAGAGGGATTCATAAACCGCCTCTTCTGAGGTGGGTCGTCTTCGTGGTAGAAGACCCAAAGGTGTGTGCTCGGACACAAAGTGTAGACCATCGTTCCCATTCGTAGCCAAAGAAGGCAGGCTGGGGGTCTCCACATTGTGGCTGGTTAATGAGGAGTTGCATCAGGAAAATCTAAAACATTGTAAACCACTGGCTGGTAAAGCCATGCAATTAATGGATAGGTGTAGAATCCCCATATAAATATTAAATGTCACTAAATACTACTAAGTGTATGAACTGGGGATTTCACATATTTCCTGTTAAAACATCTGTGCTCCAATCATACACACCTGCAGTGGATAAAAACACTGACAGTGGCACTCTAGTGTCATACAGATGGAAGATAATTATCTACAATGCAAGGACAGCAACTCCATGTGTTTTACTTCCATTCATCCCAAGGGAGGCAAATGTCAACAGGGTGAAGAAGGAAAGAGGTGAGTAAACCAAGACAAGGAATTATAGACATTCTTTCAAACATGTACAACACTGTACAGCACTGTAAGTTTTAGTAATAATATTTTTTACATTATTACATGAAAAACAACAATAACTAATTGAAAATATAGGGCTTTAGCACAAAAATTGCCCCTGTGCAACTAAATTTGTAAACTAATTCCACAGGCTAATGTTTAAGTAAAGGCCATCATATCTTATTAAAAACTACTTTGTTAAATGATTCCACAACTTGGTCAAGTATCCAGCTCAGTAAATGTTAAAGTGATTAATATTCTTCCAACTGTGCCTGGGCCAAGACTCTCAAGGATTTGTATGATGCCATGTTTTTAGAACTGGCTGTTTGAGAACATATCTACCAGCTGGTTTACAACACACTGGCAGTAGATAAGAGAACTGTGAAACTGTAGTGATCATCTACCATCAGTTAGTATCTGATCCTCAGCTGTCACTGACAAATTATTGCACAAATCTGAGACTTAACCAAATTTGGATTTCATGGGATGTAAGTACAGTACAATCATCCACTTCAAACTAACCAGATACAATAAAAATTAAAAAGCCAACCAATATTTACAAAGCGGAAGATTGCCTATGAGCAGTCAATGGTATGTGATCACACTATACTGTACAGTACAGTATATATAAATACTGTAGTCCTTACAAGTGAACTGAGTAAATAACTCAATACGTATACAGATTATTATGATTTTGTCTAGGATGAACTTAAGTACTTTAGCTCTAAGAGTTTCCGTACTCCCATTACTATGAAACAAGACTGGTTCATCAAGATGTAAGTTCTTCACTACTACTACCACCCTCTGATCAACTTTAGCAGAACTATCTGTCATTTATCAGGATATCTCTCTTACCATGGCTCTATAGGTCACACATTACCTTAACTTCTCCCTCTCCAGAGAAATGATAACCCACCTATAAACATAATCAGTCTCCCTGACAAAGGTATTTACAAACATACTTCTATACTCACTTGACCATGTCTGTTGAGAGGGTTTCATAGATCTTATTGTCATACTTATCTTCCCCTCGGTCCTCAGGAAAGCCCCTGAAACAATTACAATTCATAAATCTTTATGTTCAAAGGAAAAATTTAAGTACCGTACTGTATTACTTTATGCAGAATTACAGGTATAGACAGACCATAAATTACTTTTACCCCTTCAGTGTTGAACAATATGACAAACTGGTGTAAAAATTCCGAACAAAACTCTTGCATCTGGCTTCACATTGGTAATCCTGCTTTCTTTATATGGGAATATGCTGGGCTACCAGTGACACTATTCCTGTCACTTTTCATTGTGCAATTTATTTTTCTGTGCTGTGTAATCCTATGTAAAAGTAATTTATTGTCTGACTGTACACATCCCTCATATAATGAAGCTTCACATAGCACAGTTTCATTATTCTGTAACAAAATTGATAATTTAGGAAATATATTCATATAAAAATATTCTCAGTGCTCTGCTTTCAGATGCATAAATACAGCGTTATGTTTGGTAGGGCTGTGACTGTACTTCACAACTTTATTCTGCTTTGAACTACAGTACAGTACTGTAGTTATCGCATGAAAAAAGGCACCTGGAAATGCCCAAAACCCAATTCCTGGTTAGTTAGAATGTACCGATAGCTCCAGTACATCAAGGGAAGGACACAAGGCAACAATAAATAATCAAATGAAGAAAATTAAAGCATGCATGACATCTCTCAGGAACAAACCCTAAGTAAGAATAAACCTTTGGTGACATAGAGTAATACCCTAAACAAAGATAACAAGTGTACAGTATAGGAAGAGAATCACTCATACTCACTTAACTTGCCAATACTGTGCTTGTTGTGATTTGCTGAGTTTGGATAATGTTGCAATAACCTGAAAGCAAAAATAAACAATAACACAATGAATAAAAGAATAAGTCCTTGATCACTACAGTTATCACAGTCTGGAAATAACTATGGACCAATTTGCCATCCCACAGCTCAACACATTCTTGGTCACTCTTGCTACAAAGGAGAACCAAAGCTTAGAGGAATATGTCATTTACAAATACAATGTCTCATGTAATTATTGCATCAGTTTCAACATGAGATAAGTAAATACAACACAACATACCCTTCCAAAATCCAAAAATTCAAAAAGCATTTCCGGTTCAAAGAGGTCATCTTTGTCAAGGTCAAACATCTTTTCACACGTTTGTAGGAAGATGCCGATGTTCTTCATACACAAAAACTGCAAATCAAAACAAATAAATTGTATTACTGTACTTCTAAAAAAATAATAATAATTTCAGCTGGACACATTTATAATTAGCTACTGCACACAGCACTGTACTGTACTGTGATAACACCTCTGAGATCTTGTATGGTGACTGTAGGGTAAAGGTTAAATTAGTCTTAAAAGTTCTGTGAAATATCTGATATATTACTGTACTAGTACTGTTTTGTACGGTTTTTAGTTGGGCAAAAGTTGCTTATTACATTGTACAGTGCTGTATGCTCTGGCAAAAGAAATCTGAGAGATAAATGGCAACTCTCTTCTGACCCTTTACCCACTTGTTGAGGTCAATGTAAGACTAGCCTCACCACTAAAATACAGTAGCAAGATTTTATGTTCTTTTATGGCTGGTTGTAATACACTGGAGAACATGCAATTGTATGGAGGCAGTGGCCTACTGTGAGTGCCTCCGTGACTGAAGTAGAAATATGAAAATCATTACTGTATTCTCTAATTTCCAACTGTGGCTTTATAAAACACTTACGTACTGTACTGTTCTAGCAGGTGATCTAGAAACATAATCCCCCAAACCTGGTTGTTTGGTAGTGACCTTGTTCTTCACAGTTACCTGTCTTCATATAAAATAAAATCTGTATAAATAAAGTTAAGCTAATTCTTCAACTTAATGTCAAGTTCCATTAATTGTGTTGGATTTACTGTGTGTAATGTGATGGCAAAACATGATGAAAAAAATTAAGGTGACACTTCTTGCGAAGATCACATAAGCCAATTAAACCTGACCCATAAATAATTTAACAATACCAGAGTAGTTTTCATACATGTAGTTTTGCTTATGAACGATCTACACATTCACTTGTGTCATAACTTTCATGTTGTCTCAATGGATTTATATCTTATGCAGGAAGTGGATGTCATGTAGATTAAGCACCTCTTATACTAAATAGGGGAGGTTAATTAGTTGAGGTTAGATTAATATTACTGATGTGTGTTTAATCATCAGATGAATTAAGGGGGGTTTCCTAATCTTCATATCCCATTAAGTAAACTAAAAATATCTCTTAAAACTCCACAAGCTAATGGTTGGTAAGAGCAGAGAAGGCTAAATAACTACACTGTGCAGCAAGTAGGCCATACCCTGTGTGCCTTCAACATTAATACACTGTACAGGGTATGAGCCTTCAGGAAAACAACGAACACAAGTCACAGCGACGACCGAAGACAAAACTCAACCAATCCTATCCTAGTTTAAACTACACATTAACCAGCCATCATCATTAAGAGACTTAGCTCATGTCTTCTTCAGGGACCAATTGTTTAATATTTTCCAAAACTAACATGTGTGTGTGTGTCCTATTTCCATTCTAGAGTCGGTGCAGCGAAGAATGACAAAAATGATTCAGGGACTTAGAAACCTTCCATATCGGGATAGGTTAAAGAAACTTAACTTGCATTCCCTAGAAAGACGAAGAGTGCGGGGAGATATGATAGAAGTATTTAAGTGGGTGAAAGAAATCAATAAAGGGGATATAGATAAAGTTCTTATAATATCCGAGCAGGATAGGACTCGAGCAACGGATTCAAGTTGGATAAGTTTAGGTTTAGGAGGGAGATAGGAAGAAACTGGTTCACAAATAGGGTGGTGGACGAGTGGAACAAGCTTAGCAACTTTGTAGTAAGTGCGGGAACGCTGGAAAGTTTCAAAAGGAGGCTAGATAGATTCATGGATGATAGAGAGTGGTAGTAACTCTCGACAGTAGCTGCCATGCACAGGCCAACCGGCCTATTGCAGACTCCTTATTTTCTTATGTTCTTATGTTCTTATAAAAAAAATAATTCCTAAACATCCCAATAAAATTATTCAGGAAAAAATGAAGCTTCATCCATCTCCTCGACATTTATATCCATTTTTTCCCTGTTCCATCACCAAACTGTACATCGTGTACTGTACACTGAACCAAATTCAGTAATCTACGATCAGAATCACCAGGATCAATCAGAACAAATGCCGGGCAAGTTGCAGAAGTAATAACCGCTGCCTGGACCATACAGATATACAATAGCAAACAGTTGATTTAATAAGTACTGTACTGGCATAACCCCCAAAAGTCTGTTAAAAACTCATTTTCATTAAGGTTCTAGTTAAGGTGATACATGGCTGCCTTAGAGCAGTTTCATCATACAGTACACAACGAGAAGCCCTCAACACAGTCACAGGAAGAGTAATTGTATCATGCCCTGGAACCTTGTATCATACTAATGAAGGCTCACAAGAGATCACTAATACTCTCACTACTTAGCTGTTCATCTTTATTTCTCACAGTAGAGTTTCCTTGTCAGTAAACAACGTGTGAGTTGCACCATGTTAACACTGCCTGCATGTTTTGTCCACAACCATCATTAATATAACTCGAACCATAACTCATATACTATAAACTGTCATGTATTCTGACAATAACAATCAGCTAGGACTAAATAATCTCATACACGAGATAGTTATTGATGAAGAAGAATATATAACAGTACCCGTGCATTCTGCGGCCGCTGGTTAATACTCCTCAGGTCTATACTGTCCTCGTCCAGGATGTACAGTAATTTGCATACCATGACACCATCCCTGAGGAACCTACAGAAGTCTATGAGTGTGGCATTAGGTGATGTGAGTACATGATCACGACTTATAAGCCCAATCCTCGCGAGCCAGTCCGGGCACTCCCTCCACTCCACACTCGACATGGTGACTGGCCACACCGACCAGTTTGTTTACACATACTGTATATAATGATCAGTACAAATGTGAGTTTCATTATATGTTATAAGTACTAATTTTCATGTACTGGTAGAATAAGAATTTAGATATGAACATAAGTATTATCTAAACCTTATTTAATTATTTAATTACGTTCAACCTCATCGATATAATTCATCCCCTCAGATTCAGATAACATACCACAAATAGTGCTGAAAATACGTAATTAATGAAACCTTTCCTGCACTATAATGCAAATCTGGTGACAAAATAACAATGTTGGTGCTAATATCTTCCTGCTGGAATACAAATATGGGTGTATCTAAACCTACAATACTGAATCATTTACACACGGCAGCTGTTCCTTACTTGGTAACACTAACTGGATAATGATTCTAGTGTGCAGTCAGTAAATAATTAATTAACTGATATAGTAGTACTTATTGCACTAATGAATTATAAGTGTCGTCGTCCTATGTAGAAACATCTAATCTCACATTGCATTTCCGTTACTGTGCGTGTGTGTTTACTGGAGAGTGGACATAATAATAATAATTAACGGTTTATTGAAAGAGCTTTGGCAGCCAGAAGGCTGAAAATATACAGTTACATATTTGGGGGAATGGGTTACGAATTACAAATAATATACAAGTGACATAAGTGACACAAATAAGACATATAGTAACTTAGATGGGGATCAGCTCAAAATACAGTTCATTTCAACATAGTGACAGTGTAGGGAGCAGTGTTTACTGGGAGTGAATACACTGATTTATTACATGTTATTGATAATTTTTACAATGGTTGGGACTGGGCTGTTCTTATAGCGATCAGTTCGTGCACGTATGGGCTGATGGTTGTGGTGTCGAACAGCAATTCTCGGACAGGGGATCTCAGGTGGTAGTAGGGGGGTGTCGATGGTGTAGAAGCTTCTTACCAAATTTGCAGATGAGGTCGTGGTGATGGTCGGTGAGAGTCGAAAGGGTCAGTGTGTTGAGCGCTTCTGATATGTGGAGTAGGAAGGGGAGAGAATGTGTGTGTGTGTGTTTACTGGAGAGTGGACATGTGTGTGTGTGTGTTTACTGGAGAGTGGACATGTGTGTGTGTGTGTCGATTTTGCTTTTGTTGTACGTGGAAGTGGTCAGCTAGCAAGTGTGTGTGTGTGTGTGTGTGCTCTGTGTTTATACGTTCTTTAATGATTTATAATTCAGTATCATCACTTCTAACGTTGTGACATAAAAGTGTCTATCTATCTATCTATCTATTTCCCTTACCTGACTGATCAACAAGTCACTCGTCACAATGCATTACAATGAGAGTTGCTTAATAGTGGCCTCTCACTCACTACATATCACGTCCGTCCTCTACTTTCACCAGAATGATTGTTAACTGAGGAATTCAATCAAATTCAGACACAATTAATTTTTTTTTTCATTCTGGTGTTTTGATAATTATTGGTTGAGAATATTGTAGTGCAGTACTTAATCTATTTAGTATTAAACTGCCTGGTCCCTCTTGCCGGATATGGAAGAAAGAGGCATTTTATCTAATTTATTCTTTTGAATAATTTAGATAAGATTTGCAACTAGATATATGATTTCAGTGCTAATGTCATACAAAAATTAATCATTATTGTGGCAGGATATTATTTGTACGTAAGTTGGTGAGACAATTATTATTATTATTATTATTATTATTATTATTATTAGTATTAGTATTATTATTATTATTATCATTATTATTATGATCTCGTTGGCACCTGTTTACCATTATTACTTCACGTTTTTGCGATAGTGATGATAAGAATTGATAACAAATACTCTTTAAGTTAAAATCACATTGAGTCACGTTGCTCATGAATGGACTGAAGTAATTATTATTAAGATGTAGTATTTCTTTACACTCAGATATTTCACTGACATAAATAATATCGTCGTAGATTACTTATGTACTTTTGTCGAACAGCAGATGTTATAATGTAATAAATAGAACAGAACGTCATACATTAGTTATATACTCGCTTCACGTTTCACACTGCACTGCGATAAGGAGTTTGGGATTCTTGTAGTTTCATGAATTAAATATTTCCTTTTATCTAGAGATGTTAACAAGGATCTAAGTTACTCATAAATGTCGTCAAAATTACACCGAGACTCATGTAAAGTAGATGTATTAAATCTAATTCAAGTTAAAATAAAAACTAACGTACGGATTTTGGGCATTTACACTGTCGTAGTGACCGCGGGAAATCAACAGAAGCAAGAAACATGTCATTTAACATCCCATTTTCTCTAAAGGTTCCTAAGTTGTTGGAACACTGTCTCGCTAACTACCGCCAAGAGGCACCAGGCTGACGAGCGGATGACTCCCTTATCAGCAAAAGAACATCTGACAACGTGAATGTGATAAGAGTCTCCACCGCTAGTGACACTACTGTCTAGTGGTGATAATATGTACTCTGAGCTAGTGATGCTATTACATGTACTCAGGGCTAGTAGTACTACCACATGCACTCAAGCGAAGTAATACACAAGAACGAGATACATTTTTATCAACCAATCACCGCCGATGTTCACTAATCCATACCTGTTGTTTCACTCGGCAGGGAACCAGTTTACCAGCATGACCAGAAGGTGACGCACGACTCTTGGCCTCACGTATCGACTGAGAGGTGGAGCATTATGAGAGGTTTGTTAATCATGTTTTGTTTAATATTATGTTCTTACTGTAAGTCTTCTGATTCAGTGTCGTTAGGTATGTTTTAAGAGGTTTTAAGTTAAGTTAGGTAGGTTAGGTTAGGTTGGTTAGGTCAATATTTTTTTGTATCATATTCGCCACTTTTAACCGGTTCTGTGCATTTTCGTTTCCATTTATATATTTAATAGATTGTAAATAACGTTTCCACTAAGTTTCGATAAATTCTATCAATCCTGGTGTTATTCTTAAAAAAAATACCAAACGGGCAACTTGACAAATATCTACAGCGTTTTCAATTCCTTAACGTCAATGACCGGTTCTTTCCTGCTATGTTTGAGTTAATGTGAAAAGATAAAGTGAACTTGAAGGAAATAATGATTTAAAAGTGCACTAATAGGAATGATAATTTTGTTCGTCTGCCTAGTCTAGGAAATGACAGGCCTACCAACAAAATGTAATCTAATATGACAAGCTTCAGTTAATCATATTGGTAGATGTGTATTTTTCTTCATTTTTAAATATAATAAACACTATAAAGTATTCTTTTTCTTGTTTTTGGTCGAGAAAATAATGTCTGGTTCACAGTAAACAAATATGGCTAGGCAAGAGTTTCGCGTGCCGTGATTTAGTTCATACAAGTACTGTATTTATGAAACTCAGGTGTTTCGTCGTGCCCTCGTCCAGAGTGACCGGAGTACAACGAGCTTGCCGAGCCCCTTAAAATCCTGTCTTGCAGATGCATGGACGAGTAAAAGATCCCAAGCGACTGGAAAATGGCTTAGATGGGTCATATTCAAACGGAAATCGTCACTCCACAAAAGATTTTAGATCAGTGAGTCTGACCAGCATAGTTTGTAAAGTACTAGAGGCCACTGTAAGAGATGCCATGATGGAACATCTACTAAACAACCTGCTAAAGGACTGCCAACACGGTTTTATGCCGAGTCGCTCCTGCTTGACGCAATTACTTAAGGTGCTGGATGTGTGGACTCAGATCCTGGAGCGTGGTGGCATTATCGACAATATATATCTGGACTTTGTCAAGGCTGTCGACAGCATCCCCATGAAAGGTTGAAAATTAAATTGGAAGGGTACGGTATTCTGGGAAGTGTCCTATCGTGGATCGGAGACTTTCTCCGTGACTACAAGCAGTGTGTGGTGATTAATGGCGTGAAATCGTCATGTGAAGGCTATGTATACCCGTGACACGCGGGGTACCACAGGGCAATGTACTCGGTCTGTTGATATTTGTTTATTTCATAAATGGCAAGCCAGAAGCGATACACTCTTCCATACAAATGTTCGCGTCAGTTGTCTAATGCATCACCTGACAGTCTGAGATATGTTAATCCAACCTAACCCAACTCAACTCAACCTAACCCAAACCTACCCACAATAACCTATCCTAACCTATGAACAGTTACTTGAAAATATGTCATAATCCATCTTTTAACATCAGAGCTGACAAGTGATTCTTTGTCTCCGTTTTTATCATCTATAAGAGGTGAGTTTTTGTTCCTGACCCCCGCCCTTAATATACATGTACGTCTTCACATCTTTAACTTCTGAATGAACTAACTTAGTACATTGAAGGGACCATACTTGTTCATTTAAACTCCTTCCTCGTGTTCTAATATTACATAGTTATTGTATTCATTATATTTCATACTTTTATTAATTTTTTTTGTAATTACGTGTATCTTTATTTTATTCTATAGATTTATTACCTGTGTTCTTTTCTTGAATTAATTACACCGTTATGGTAATGTTTACATCCTGGAGGTGACCATCTTGTCTGGCAACGATGAGTGCCATAACACAGGCCTGCCAACCACACCGCCCACCTCCCTCAATACAGTAATCACATATTTGACACACATCAATCACTATAAGTTACAGGTCTAGGTATATAGGTACGGTGACTTTCCCTTATGATGGCGTAATAATGACGACTTACCTTACTATGGTCAAGGAATAGAAATATTTATGATACGACTTGATGAATGTAGTGTATAGTACCAGCATATCGGGTGGGTTTTTTTTTTCGAGTATAGTTTAGGATTTGTTGTTTAGGTTATAAAAATTGATGGCAAGCAGCAGGAGGATGTTGTCAATGTGAGTTTGTTCTATTTCTCAGTTGATATTCAGTGGGGTTCGTATGATCGGGGTGTGGCAGTACTGGGAAGCCATTAGTAGTCATTGCTTCCCTGTCTCATGGCCGACCATTACCACGTGTGTTGTGTGATGAGTTGCTCCACCCCCCCCCCCACACACACACACGTTCTTAATACATTACTGGGGTCATAGGTCAAGTAAGGTGAATTAGTGGAGCCACCTCACGCTCGGAGGGGGACAGAGTGAGGGAAGGAGACAGAGGGAGACAGGGAGGCAGAGGGACAGAGGGAGACAGGGAGACAGGGAGGCAGGGGGACAGAGTGAGGGAAGGAGACAGAGGGAGACAGGGAGGCAGGGAGACAGAGGGAGGGAAGGAGACAGAAGGAGGCAGGGTGTGAGGTACAATTAATAATAGTTCTTTATAAAAATTTTCAGAGATCGATGGTGGTGTATATGGTGGAGATGAGGGGGTGAGGGGGAGGTGAGGGGTGAGGGAGGTGAGGGGAGGAGGTGAGGGGAGGGGGAGGTGAGGGGGTGAGGGGGTGAGGTGGGTGAGGGGTGAGGGAGGTGAGGGTGAGGGGGAGGTGGGGGGTGTGAGGGATGGGTGGTGATGAGTAGAGTGAGGGGAGGGGAGAACTGAAGTAGAGGAACTATCATCATCATCACCACCATCATCACCATCATTCACCCTCATCATCACTCCTCATCATCACCATCATCACCCTCATCATCACTCACCATCACTATCATCACCATCAATTAAACTTACGAATTTTTGAGATCTTAAGTCACGATTTTTTCTGAGGGTTACCTGACACTTAGATGTTTGGTGATGTTACTTAAGTGTGTGTGGCTGTTACTTAAGTGTGTGTGGCTGTTACTTAAGTGTGTGTGGCTGTTACTTAAGAGTTGTGCTTTAAGTTTTTATTATGATTCTGTTGAGTTTTATCGAGTAAGAAAAACACACACACACACACACACACACACACACACACACACACACACAGTCTCTCTCGATGTTCCACCTGTGTGTCTTTGTGAGTCATTTCTTGCTGTGACGCCTTAAATTAAATGTGTATATGTGTGTGTGTGTGTGTGTGTGTGTGTGTGTGTGTGTGGGAGGGGGAGCATGAAGGAGGTCGCAGCCGCTGATGGAGGGAGGGTGAGGTTAAGGCATTGGCCTCATGGCGTGTAGCAGCGATTCGCGTGGTGGCGTGGAGGTGAGGGCGTGCGTGGTGGCGTGAGGAGGGGCGTGTGGAGGTGAGGGCGTGCGTGGTGGCGTGGAGGTGAGGGCGTGCGTGGTGGCGTGAGGGAGGGCGTGCGTGGTGGCGTGAGGGAGGGGCGTGCGTGGTGGCGTGAGGGACGTGTGGAGGTGTAGCGCCAGGATGGTGGGTCAGTGTGTCCTGGACTACAGTAGCGATACACAGTCAAGGTGTCCAAATTTTGTCTCACGGTAGAGTGCGTCGGTAGAGTGCGGTCGGTAGTGCTTGGTGTGTGTGTGTGTTTGTGTGTAGTGCAGTCGGTAGTGCTTGTGTGTGTGTGTGTTTTGTGTGTAGTGCGTCGGTAGTGCTTGTGTGTGTGTGTTTGTGTGTAGTGCGTCGGTAGTATGCTTGTGTGTGTGTGTGTGTTTGTGTAGAAAAGGGCCTGGTAGTGCTTGTGTGTGTGTGTTTGTGTGTAGTAAGGGGTCGGTAGTGCTTAGGTGTGTGTGTGTTTGTGTGTAGTAAGTGCCTGGTAGTGCTTAGTGTGTGTGTGTTTGTGTGTGTAGTGTGTCGGTAGTGCTTGTGTCTGTGTTTTGTGTAGTGTTTGTGTGTGTGTGTTCGTAGTGCTTGTGTGTGTGTGTGTGTGTTCGTGTAGTGCTTGTGTGTGTGTGTTTGTGTAGTGTTTGTGTGTGTGTGTGTGTGTGTCTGTGTAGTGCTTGTGTGTGTGTCTGTGTGTGTCTGTGTGTTTGTGTAGTGCTTGTGTGTGTTCAGGTTTGTGTAGTGCTTGTGTGTGTGTCTGTGTGTTTTGTGTAGTGCTTGTGTGTGTCTGTGTTTCAGGTAGTGCTTGTGTGTGCGGTCTGTGTGTTTGTGTAGTGCTTGTGTGTGTGTCTGCAGGTTTGTGTAGTGCTCGGTAAAAAAGTGTCTGTGTTTGTGTAAAAAAGTTTATGCGTGTGTCTGTGTGTAGGTAGTGTCATAGGTTCAGGTTGTGGTGCTTGTGTGTGTGTTCTGTGTGTTTGTGTAGTGTTTAGGTGTGTAAGTTTTGTGTGGTTGTAGGTTGTGTGTTTGTGTAGTGCTTGTGTGTGTTGTGTGTTTGTGTGCTTGTGTGTGTGTGTTCGTGTAGTGCTTGTGTGTGTGTGTGTGTGTTCGTGGTGCTTGTGTGTGTGTGTGTGTTCGTGTAGTGCTTGTGTGTGTGTGTTTGTGTGGTCTTGTGTGTGTGTGTGTGTTCGTGTAGTGCTTGTGTGTGTGTGTGTGTGTTCGTGTAGTGCTTGTGTGTGTGTGTGTGTGTTCGTGTAGTGCTTGTGTGTGTGTGTGTGTTCGTGTAGTGCTTGTGTGTGTGTGTTTGTGTAGTGCTTGTGTGTGTGTGTGTGTGTGTTCGTGTAGTGCTTGTGTGTGTGTGTGTGTTCGTGTAGTGCTTGTGTGTGTGTGTGTGTTCGTGTAGTGCTTGTGTGTGTGTGTGTGTGTTCGTGTAGTGCTTGTGTGTGTGTGTGTGTTCGTGTAGTGCTTGTGTGTGTGTGTGTGTTCGTGTAGTGCTTGTGTGTGTGTGTGTGTGTGTGTTCGTGTAGTGCTTGTGTGTGTGTGTGTGTTCGTGTAGTGCTTGTGTGTGTGTGTGTTCGTGTAGTGCTTGTGTGTGTGTGTGTTCGTGTAGTGCTTGTGTGTGTGTGTGTTCGTGTAGTGCTTGTGTGTGTGTGTGTGTTCGTGTAGTGCTTGTGTGTGTGTGTGTTTGTGTAGTGCTTGTGTGTGTGTGTGTGTGTGTTCGTGTGGTGCTTGTGTGTGTGTGTGTGTTCGTGTAGTGCTTGTGTGTGTGTGTGTGTTCGTGTGGTGCTTGTGTGTGTGTGTGTGTTCGTGTAGTGCTTGTGTGTGTGTGTGTGTTCGTGTAGTGCTTGTGTGTGTGTGTGTGTGTTCGTGTAGTGCTTGTGTGTGTGTGTGTTCGTGTAGTGCTTGTGTGTGTGTGTGTGTTTGTGTGAGTGCTTGTGTGTGTGTGTGTGTGTGTTCGTGTAGTGCTTGTGTGTGTGTGTGTGTGTTCGTGTAGTGCTTTGTGTGTGTGTGTGTTCGTGTAGTGCTTGTGTGTGTGTGTGTGTTCGTGTAGTGCTGTGTGTGTGTGTGTTCGTGTAGTGCTTGTGTGTGTGTGTTCGTGTGGTGCTTGTGTGTGTGTGTGTGTTCGTGTGGTGCTTGTGTGTGTGTGTGTGTGTTCGTGTAGTGCTTGTGTGTGTGTGTGTGTTCGTGTAGTCTTGTGTGTGTGTGTGTGTTCGTGTAGTGCTTGTGTGTGTGTGTGTGTGTTCGTGTAGTGCTTGTGTGTGTGTGTGTGTGTGTTCGTGTGGTGCTTGTGTGTGTGTGTGTGTGTTCGTGTAGTGCTTGTGTGTGTGTGTGTGTTCGTGTAGTGCTTGTGTGTGTGTGTGTGTTCGTGTAGTGCTTGTGTGTTCGTGTAGTGCTTGTGTGTGTGTGTGTGTGTTCGTTAGGTAGGGGGTTTAGTGTGTGTGTTCGTAGTGTTTAAAAATCAGTAGGTGCTTCTTAGGTGGGTAAACTGCAGTGCTTGTGTGGTTTTGTAGTAGTGCTTTAGTGTGTGTGTGGTGTCTGTGGAGGTTTTCAGGCAGGGTAACTGTAGGCGGGCCCAGGTGTGTGTGGTGTGGTTCTGTGTAGCGTTTAGGGTGTGTGTGTTCGTGTAGTGCTTTAGGTGTGTGTGGCTCAGGTAGTGTTTCAGGTGTGTGTGTGTTCGTGTAGTGCTTGTGCGTGTGTTCGTGTAGTGCTCTAGGTGTGTGTGTGT